TATTTGTTTCTTATTGACTCTTCTAACAAATTACACTTTACTATAGTGAGTTTAGGAGTTATCTCAGGCGTCAGCTACGGGGCCGTGCGCGTTCTGCTGACATTGATAAAAGAGTCCACAAAGAGTTTCCCAGTTGGTTTACACGTCGAATACGTAATGACAACAGCCCATACACAGATGAATTCAGAGCTCTTTCTCTCGGTCCGTTAGACCATGCACGGAGGTTTACCGCGTACAATGTCAACGGCTTCAAGTTCTGTACGGTTGCACGTGATCAGGGATTGCTCACACAAAACTCTGGAGTTTGCGGGACATTCGGAACGAGATGTTATGCTAGCAGTAGTGATGGCGATATGCGCTTTGGAGGCGTCACTTACTATGGAAAGCTAATTGACATTATTGAGTTGACTTACCAGCTTTTCACCGTGACACTGTTCAAATGCTCCTGGGCAAATACGACAACTTCACGGGGACTCGCTACTGACCATTTGGGCATCACCTCAGTCAATTTCTCAAGACTTATTCATACGGGGGCATCTGAAGATGATGAGCCATATATCCTTGCTTCTGAGGCACACCAAATTTACTATGTCGAGGACGAGAAACATAAAGACTGGAATATGGTCGTTCACCTCAAGCCACGGGATCTTTACGATATGGGTGATGGTGACATTATTTACGACAGTGAACCCTTCCAACCCTCGAATTTTGAAGACTTCTTTCCTCAAGGAGATGATAATTTGCCACTTATCAGGTACACGTCTTTTCTTAAATTATTTAAATAATTAACTACTAATTACTAATTTTTTCCAAATACAACATAAATTTAACAAATTTTTTTAAAATATGTCCTTTCAGGCCGGATGATGATGGAGAGTAGCAGCATCCAAAATAAATTATTTAACAAATTTTTCGTCCATAAATACATATGTATAAATTAAAATTCGTAAAATTTTTTTAAAAATAAAAAAATTTTCATTTGTAGCGGTTCATAACCGCTACAAATTTTTTCACGATATTGTAATTTGTAGCGGTTATTAACCGCTACAAATTACACGAAATTGTAATTTGTAGCGGTTAATAACCGCTACAAATTACAATATCGTGAAAAAATTTGTAGCGGTTATGAACCGCTACAAAATACATACCTGTAAATTAAAATTCGTTCAGATTTTAAAAATAAAAAATACTAAATTTCTAGCGGTTAATAACCGCTACATATGTAACCGCTACTAATTACTAGCGCTTTTATATACGCTAGAAAATGAATAACAGCTACAAATGTTATAAAACGCTACAAAAACACCGCTACAAATGTGTCGCTGATCTCTATAAATACCATATCTTCTCTACATTCATTTACTCCATCTCTTTTCTTCCTCTCCTATTCTTCTTCATAATTCTCTCTTTTTTTCTTACTATCTCATATTGTGGTTTTTTTCTCTTTACTCTATGGTAAGTGAATTTTATTTTATAATTCATTGTATCTTTTATTTGTTTTTATTTAAAATTTACTAACATATTTATTTTTCCTTTCCTTTCAGATTTTTCTTCTCCACATTTGTCATGCCCTCCTCAACTGATTCAAATACTCATCAACTTAATACTATAGGTTCAATATTCCAAAATATATCATCTTCAATTCAACTATCTTATTAAATATTCAATTAAATTATCTCGTTAGATTAAATTCACTTCTTTTAACACATTCATAATTTAATTACATATTTTTTATTACAAAATTTGAATATATAAAATGTAACATATAACTAATTATACAAATTAACAAAAATTCTTCAAAATAATTTATTTAATGGTTTTTAAAATTATAATATGAAAAACCATAAATTTTTTTTTCTGGCACGGTAAACATTTCTAGCGGTTCAGAACCGCTAGAAATATTTCGTCAAATTTAAATTTCGCGCCAAACTTTCTAGCGGTTAAGAACCGCTAGAAAATTTTCCCGCCATTCTAAAAATTCAATTGGTGTGAAAATTTAATTTCCCAAACATTTCTAGCGGTTCTATAACCGCTAGTAATTTTCGCGCGCTACTGAAATTATTTAATTCCCGTTTAACAGGTTTCTAGCGGTTTTGTAACCGCTAGGAATGTGTCTCCTTCAGATAATTTCTAGCGGTTCCTAACCGCTAGAAATGTTCTATCGTTTTGACCATGATGTGTAGCGGTTGAGATAACCGCTAGAAATTTTTTCTAACACCTGTTTTTCTAGCGGTTTCGTTAACCGTTACAAATGTTATTTGTTGCGGTTAGAACCGCTAGAAATGTAACACCGTAACCGCTAGAATTAACATATTTTTTTGTAGTGAATTCCCATATCTGAAAATGATGTTCAATCTTAATCTTTAGTTTAGCTGATACATTATTTTCCTCCACATGCCCAATGATATCCATCCCACTGTTTCCCCTCATTTAAACCCACATAATATTAACGTTAAATATTTCTCTTGCTGTATAATGCAGTAGTGTAACATATTTATATATTCCTAGAAGAATAAATATATATACGGAATGCTTCCATTCATTCGCACCACTAACACAGCCTGTTACTTTTATTATTTTACGTCATCTCTAACATATCAAATGCATTTAAAGTGTATGTCAAACCTAACTTCCATGTGAATATCGTGGTGTTTAAATCTCTCCCACCCGCATTTTATATCCTTTAAGAAGTATTAGCTATGCGATGCAATTAAATTAAGTTGTACTCCTCCGGTCATTAATATAGGATATAATTGTTAAGTTAATTTTGGTCCTAAATATAATACTTATTTCTCATATTTATTAATTTTTTTAAATTATCCATATGAATAATTTTTCAACTATAATCAAGTAAGTGAGGAGGTGGATATTAAAAAAGATGATTATAGTGTTTTAGGAAAAACATGTCATATTTCTTATAATTAACTAGCTTACCTAACTTCTTTAATCAAATCAAATCAGTTAAATAGGCCTTATATTAAGGACCAGAACAGTATTATTTATAGATTACCTACGAACTACCAACAAGATCATCTCATATCAAAGTGAAATTTATATAACTTTGTGAACTATGAGCCGATTTCTTATTAAGTGAATCAGTTTTTATTTATTGACGCAATGATTGGCAATGTTGATAGTGAGAATAATATGTAGATAGCTAGTTGGATTTCAATGATGAAGCATAGGTGACATCTCTCGTTCACAGCCTTTGTCGTGTGTTGACACTCTTGTGACTTGTTTCGAAACATACTGGCTTCTCGCGGCACATCATGAGATTGCATATCTATATCTTACGTTAAGATACATGTACCTTCATTATTAAAATAATTAAAATCTAATGGCTATGTATTAATTGTTTATCGTTTTCAACTCAACACTCACTTGTTAAGGACATGTGTACATGTGTTGGTTGTTAAACACGCCACAATATATATTCCTATTTTCATAAAATTCGCTGTCGGCTGTAAGCATATATATATATATATATATATGTATTCAATTGAATAATCCCAAAAAATAAAGAGAAAGAAAAGGAGTGTCAAGAGAGAAGTTGCACATGCACATGGAGGTGTGCATGGATTTATTAGGGAGCCACGGAAAGGTCCAAAAGAAGGCATGCAAGTTTTATGTAAGAGGCTTGATACTATCTCTGGTCCTAATTATAAAACCTCGTTTGTAATTTGTAGTATACAAACAAAGTCTTATAATTAGGACAGAAGGTAGTATTATATATGTGAAGATGGATTTCATGGACACATGTATGGCCAGGCAAAGGACGAATGTGGTTGAGCTTCAATATACCAGCTCACATGCACATGCCCTTTTCCTTTGCTTCTTTTGGTCAAAAGGCCCCCCTCCCCTCATACTTTTCCTTTGCCACACCTATTCCTCACTGTTTTTCAATGGTGGTCCAGAAACCTTGTCTCGTGCCTTAGAACGATAAACCTGAAAAACAACAAAAGATACATATAGAAATATGAATGAGTTTTCTTATGGACACTGAGTCAAATTTCCGTGATAAAAGAAAATTAACTGTGCAAAGATACTCCAAATTTTCCTGGCAACCTATTTTCAATTATATTTGAGATAAAAAAACATATACACATAGTTGAAAGTATACAGCACACAATTGAAAAAAAAATTACGTTATTCGTTTAGGACAAGTCGTACTTGCTCAGTGATTTGCCTCGTTAGCTATTTTTGCATAATTAATTTTTTTATAGAAGGACTTTTGACGAATTTTTCAATTATTTTTCCAACTTCCACTGTAAAGTATTTCAGACGACCCTTATCAACTCGCAGCGGCCACTTTATGAATTATGGCAGTCACCCACATGCAGGTTTTTTCAAGCAGCGCCTTAATTTTTGAATTTATCTCAAATTGACATCTTCATAAATTTATTTAGTTTAATTTTACCTTTTTCGGCAATATTCAAATGGTTTTCATATCGCACTCCCGAATATTAATTATGTTTCATTTCGAATGTTGACGGCAAACTTAATGAATAGATCCAGCTTGACTTTGATATTTCTAACTCATTTCTTTTCGTTCACTCCAGGTTAATAATACGGTAATAAATTGAGATTATCATTTGGGGAAATTTTGATCCAGGATAATGTAAAAACTGCCTCAATAATTCAAAGCCAAACTAACGCTTATTTTTAATTTTATCTGCAATAGTCTCAATTCAATTTATCAACATTCAAGGAATTTGGTTTGCTTTCAAACATTTACTACCTAAAATTATAATAGCGCCAACTAACTATTGATATTTTACCACCACACTATCCGGTAAGGTGGAGGTTGGAGTTAATGTTTACACGTCAGGGGCAGGGAAGATATTCAAAGAAATGGGGTGCCCATGCAAATTAGGCATAAGGGGTGGGCAGATCGGTCATTTCGGGATCGGGTTAGTAACTTTATAAGAGTCTGCTTTTGCGCGGTAAGTTTTGTTTTCGAGCCTAAAAATATGTACGCAGCAGTGGAAGAAATGCAACTAACAAAGAAGGAGACGCCATAACCTCTCCTCTCGTCTGCTCACATCCAGCACATTTCAAAAGCCACAGCTCAAAACTCGCCTCAAGCCTCAAGCCTCAACCCGTTGACAACGCGCGCCCGCTCACACGGAAAGGCGACCAACAAACACAGCGAAGCAGCATTCCCGCTTTTCTCTTGTATTTTTTGCCTTGTTTTTCTTCTTCCTCCTCTTCTTCTTCTGCTCTTCGCCCTTGGCAGAAGCTCCACGATTCTCGATTTGTTCTTATCGATCTGGAGGTCAGATTCACTTCTCATGACGATCTGGTTTTGGATTTGAGATTGCATTTTCACCACGAGGTGAATGAATGTTTCAATTTTCGGCGCGTTTTGTTCCTTACCGTTTCTCATTGTGGATGTTGACCTCGATCGTCTCTGTTGTTTCTCCTCGGCAATGCGCCAAATTCTTGCCAACAATCGCTGTTGTTTTTTGGCTGTTGTTTTACTCGTCCAGCGTGTTTGATTCTGTAAGAGTGAAGATTTGGAATGAGGTTCTTGTTGTCATTGTGAATTTCGGTCATTATTTAGAGTCTCAAATTTTAAATTTGAACCTCATTTTAGAACGTAAGATTTTTTGTAAGAATGTTCATCCTGTTATGAGAATCTGTTTTGAATATTATCTTTTACTATTTTGACTTGGTTTTTGGAACGCTTTGCATATATTTCAAGTGTATTTCTGTTAAGTTTTTATTTTTATTTCCTTCTCTTTCTGGTACGTATCCTATTTATGGAATATCGCGTTAACTGTTAAGTTGTGTGTGGATATCGTTATCAGGCTTAATTAAACAGCAAAAAATGAACGGATTTTCGATAATATAATCACATCCATTCAATTTTCTGACAAACCGTTTTCAGAATTCAGACTCTCCCCTGCATATCTTTGCACATAAAGTTAGACGAGAATGTTCGCTCGAAAATTTGTCTCCCCGGTCCCAAGTCATTGTCCCCGTATTTGTTTTTTCGCTGAAGCCATAGGTGAATTTATTTCATCAGCTATAAGTTTCCAGATTCCATGTGAAGAAGAATTTGACAGTCTGTTTCTTGGGCTGGGGACCATCCATCAAAAGTACAAAATTCCAAAATTTCGGCTAGAGTACAGAAAGCACCGCAGTTAGGTGTCAAAATTAGTAAAATATTGTGATATTGTTCAAGTAATTACATTTTCCTCTGGCATTTGTGAATCTAAAATGGCATATAATATTATTTGTTTCCGCGTGTTTATGGTCGAATTAAGCTCTAACCTTTGATGGATTTGTTGCTACAGACAATGATTGGCAGCTGAAGGTTTGAGTGGCCTCCGTGTTCCATACTTGCTTTATGAGACAAGTAGAAATGTCGAACGAAGCGTTGTGGCAGGTGAAGAGAAAAAGTAGAAGACAAATGATACGCTGGATTCGGGACCTGTGATAAGCGATCTCAATTTCATTGCTGAAACTGGAGTTAATAAGCTGAGAAAAGCTCGGAACTGGGTTCGATGGGTGGGGAGGAGGCAGTGACCGGTGGAGAGGAGACAATCTTTGTTTCAGTTCGTATTCGGCCTCTGAATGACAAGGAGCGCGCCAAAAATGATGTGTCAGATTGGGAATGCATCAGTAACACGACGGTCATACACAGGAACAACATTTCAGCTTCCGACCGGTCTCTGTACCCAACGGCGTATACATTCGGTAGGAAACTCTTGCATTTTAATATGGTAGTTTTGTTTTGTGAAAGTGGGTCAAGGACATCTCTCGCGCGCGCCCGTGCGTGTGGACAGAAGGACAGCGCGCGCGCGCGCGCGTAATTGCTCAGATGATTGTTAACATTTGACCAAATCTGAGTATAAACATTCCTCACTTCTATTTACCAGACGAATGACTGAGATGAAAATTTGCTTCTCTCATCTGTTCTGCCTTGCTTTCATTTGGCTGTAGATAGAGTATTTGGAACCGACTGCTCCACAAGGCAGGTGTACGAAGAAGCAGCTAAAGAAGTTGCTCTTTCAGTTGTCAGTGGCATCAACTGTGAGTATCTATCTTTTATCTGGCGTTTCCTCTTCAGAACTTTCCTGGACTAGCATATTAAAACTTTCTTCCTATGTCAGCAAGCATTTTTGCATATGGACAAACAAGCAGCGGAAAGACATACACCATGAGCGGCATAACCGAGTATACTGTAGCAGATATTTATAATTACATAGAAAAGGTAAATGACATCTCTAAACATCGTAACATTAACTTGCCTTTCTCAGAGTCGTGTTGATTAGAGTATTTATAATTTTACAGCATGAGGAACGAGAATTTGTCTTAAAGTTCTCTGCAATCGAGATCTATAATGAATCTGTAAGGGACCTCCTTAGTTTGGATAGTACTCCACTCAGATTACTTGATGATCCAGAGGTAATATCCCTTCCTTTCCCCCCTTGTTTCAAATGGACTAATACATGATGTAATTTTAACTAACAGTGCCTCCATTTAACAGAGAGGGACTGTTGTTGAGAGACTCACAGAGGAAACCTTGAGGGACTGGAACCATTTTAGTGAACTTATTTCTTTCTGTGAAAGTGAGGAATGCCTGACTGATTTATGCTTCAATGTGTTATTTGGATTTTCTTTATTTGTGATTTTCTTCTTTTTGTCTCTTGAAAGAAAAACTTATCGTGCTAGAGGCTTAGAGTTTGACAACGTAATGACTCTACAGTTGACTGAATTTTGCAGCTCAAAGGCAAATAGGGGAGACGTCCTTGAATCAAGCAAGTTCCAGATCACATCAAATTCTCAGACTGGTATACTTTTTCCAATTTTTGTTGCAAGTTATGAGCTTTTAGATATGTTGTTTAACACCTAAACATTTTCCTAAATAATGTGGTTTTTCAGACCATTGAAAGTTCTGCACGTGAGTTTTTAGGAAATGACAAATCAAGCTCTCTTGCGGCTTCTGTGGTATGACTAATATACTCTGATCAAAGGAAAAATAATAAGTGCGTTAATATATAGAACTGCACGAATGAGAAATTTAGATTATCATTATTTTCTTGTTGCAGAATTTTATCGATCTAGCAGGGAGCGAGCGTGCATCCCAGACATTATCTGCTGGAGCAAGGTTGAAGGAGGGTTGCCACATAAATCGTAGTTTGCTCACCCTTGGAACTGTTATCCGCAAACTCAGGTTGGCTTCTGCAAATTGTTTCAATGTTATTAATCTCTTAGCCCTTGGCTCTCTAGCCCACATGAAATAGATGTTCTACCCATAATGACTTGTGGTGCATCTTTCAATAATCACTCCCTGACATAATAATTTCAGTTTTACTGACCATTCTAAGAGCAGCCCTCGCCACCTGTCTCTGCTAAATAAATAGGAGATGGATAAAGTTCATTTCCCTCCAGCTCTATCCATTGACTTTTCCAGTGACAGTTCACGGAAATACAAGTGCAACAGGATGCATCGGGTTAAATGGTCAATTTTAAGATTTTTTTTTTTTTAAGCCCTTAGGCACAAATTGCCAGGAATTCAAACAATAGCAAATAAAGGAACTGTAAATTCACCAGAAGCATGAAGTTGTCCTTTTTTTTATTTTCTTTCAAGCCCCAAACTGCAGAGCTCGGGACTCCATGTTTCATTCTATCACATTTTGATGCATTCAACTTTAGTCATAACAAAGCGGGGCTAAATACTACAGTATTTTGGGACATGAAGCAGGTGACTGCCTGGGACTAGTGTATTTCCAGAATTTATTGGATTCTTTTTGGGCCGCAAAACTTAAATATCATTATTAATATGTGAAATATTATGAATCTTTGAACTTTATCTAAAAATAATGAACTTATTTGCAGCAAGGGGAGAAATGGACATGTTCCTTTCAGAGATTCAAAGCTAACCCGCATTCTGCAGTCCTCCTTAGGGGGCAATGCTAGGACTGCAATCATCTGCACCATGAGCCCTGCTCGGAGCCATGTTGAACAAACGAGAAATACCCTTTTATTTGCAAGTTGTGCCAAAGAAGTGTCGACTAACGCACAGGTCAACGTGGTGGTGTCTGATAAAGCGTTGGTTAAGCAACTGCAAAGAGAATTGGCTAGACTAGAGAGTGAGTTGAGAAATTCAGGATCAGCCGGCCGCGCATATGAATCTACTGCATTGTTGAGAGAAAAAGATCTTCAAATCGAAAAGGTTATTATTAAAAATTTTAGACACAGAATTCATTTCTTTATGCTCCAGTATTAGAACCTGTTCTGTTCTCTGTCTTTGACATTCCAGGCTAAATGCTGAAGTTTCTAATAAACCGAAGAAATATAAATATTGCATGACACGTGTTATGTTATTCCTCAACAAGTTATATTGTATTGCTTACAGTAGTACATAGAATGGCGAAGAGCACTGGGTGGTTTAATCATACATTCGAGGTATTTATTGGTGTCAACATTTGAGAATAGTCTTACGACGAGTACAGAAACAGGGTGAGCTGTGAAGAAACACAAAAAAAGGAATAAAAATGCATCTTTTTTGATACTACTCGAGAATAAGAGTGGAAATGCTGTCCAGTAAGATAAGAGAGACTGAGAGATAACATAGAGTGGAGTAATTTTAAATTATCCGTGTCCCCTCATGTTTACATGTGTACCATCTTTGACAATTTTTGAGCTGATCAGGAACCTAGCGGGATCATGAGTGAAAATGAAAGATTACCTTTCTTTGCTTTCTATGATATTAAAAACTCAGTAACGTGTAATCCAAGCATGAGTTATGTGCAATTCGTGAGGAGCGATGACATTGTATTGTTTTTACTATTTATGTGTGATGGGCACAGCTCTTATTTTCCCGGCTGTACCTATGAACTTTGTTTCATGTTTCCTCCGCACATGCAGTTAAAGAAAGAGGTGGCAGAGCTAACTATACAACGGGATCTTGCTCAGTCTCAGATTAAAGATATGCTTCAAGCGGCAGAGGACGACCTGTCCTCGATAGAATTGGTAATTCCTTACCTAAAGCATTGAAAGTTTTTAAAGCTAACTTATATACCCTTTTAATCTAAATCATACTACTTATTTTCCAGGAAAGTCCAGACCCTCAATATCCCAAATTACGGGTACGAGGTTCATGGGACTTGGAAAATCATAGAGGGAAACCTAATTTATCAAGTCTTAACTGTATGGAGAGCGTCAGATCTTTCAATGCATCTCAATATTCGGATGGGCACAGTGTTAGTTCTGATGAGAACTTGTTCCAACTTCCTGACTTCGAAAAGAACCTTCCCGGCGCAAATCATTCCCCACGACCGTCCTTTACAGATTTGGATGCTGTAGATATTGAATTAAGTCCGAGTCATATTGAACAAGAAAATGATGAAAATTTAGAGGGACACTGGAAGGAAGTTAGATGCATTGAGTCAGAAGACATAACTACTAACAAAGTTACACCCTCAACCATAGCAGATTCAAGCCCAAATCCATACATTCACTCTAATGCGTCCTCTCCAGGTGCCAATACGAGTAACTCAGGATTGACAATAGTTGACAATGGAGGAAAGATGGATTTAGTTTCCTCTAGGATAAAGGAAGACAAAGAATCGAACATCTTCCACCAAGATTTTGTCGTCCGCCCTATGGGGCAAACATCTCCTTGCCAGTCAGAAACATATAGCTCTAGAGGCTTGAAGCTGCATAGAAGTAGAAGCTGTAAAGCGAGCCTCATGATGAATTCATCTTCATATTGGTTTGACAAGGAAGAAATAATTGAGAGCAAGACCTCGATTGGGATTGAAAATGAATTCACAGCAAGTCCAGGCGGCTTTCAGCAGAAGGTTTGTGCTCTTGACTATTATGCCACTGCTGAGACGCAGTCAGGGAATGATTCCAGGAATTCTGATGAGAATGGTTCTGTTGATGAAGTACCGAATATCGAAACCTCCATTGACATGGAAAGTGAAGCAAATAAAGCTTCCTTTCCTGAGAGAAAGGAAGAGGAAGATCTTGTAAGCGTAAATCAATCGATCGATCATAAGGAAAAGGAAGATCTTGTAAGCGTAAACCAACCGATCGATCACGAGGAAAATGAAGATCTTAAAACCACAAATCAACCAATCGAACATAAGAAGGAAGATCTCGTAAACGTAAATCATTCCATCGATCACAAGGTACGCTTCTTTTCATTTTCCTTCATTTTGATTATATTTGGCTAAATGTGACTTATTGAAACTAACTGATAACTTTTTGCCATGCTCTAAATCTGTTTAACTAGGATATATACACCAAATCAGATTTTCCGTTTCCCATATTAGTTGAGTTGCAAAGCTCGATCCGTTTTAGAAATTTAACCAGCGATTTGATATTATGGGCTACTTTGCGTAACAGGTTCCAGAGACGGGATTAGAGACCCCCATATCTGCCAAGAGTTTCAAGGATGTCGGCTTGGACCCAATGCAATCTGATGGAGAAAGTCCTTCAAACTGGCCTACAGAATTTAAGAGGTTCCAAAGAGAGATCATTGAGCTCTGGGACGCTTGTAATGTTTCATTGGTTCACAGAACTTACTTTTTCCTTCTATTCAAAGGTGATTCCTCAGATTCTATCTACATGGAGGTGGAACTGAGGAGGCTTTCCTATCTCAAGCAAACCCAAGGTGATCTGACCGTGAAAGATGGACAAATACTCTCTTCAAGGTAGCTTTTCATCAAGTTGTTAGTATGTTTTGTTAAACAAGTTTTAATATCTTGCCAAATGAACTAATCTTACGATGCATTTGCTTCGCAAGCAGCGTGAGAAATCTTCGGAGGGAACGGCAGATGTTGAGCAGGCAAATGCAAAGGCGGCTATCTAAATCTGAAAGAGAGAACCTATATCTAAAGTGGGGTATCCGTTTGAGTTCAAAAAACAGGGCCTTGCAATTGGCTCACCGTTTGTGGACTGACACAAAAGACATGGACCACATTGCAGACAGTGCCGCCGTTGTTGCTAAGCTGCTTGGTTCTGTGGAACCCAAACAAGCTTTCAAGGAAATGTTCGGACTCAACTTTGCTCCTCGTCGTCCTACTCGAAGATCGTTTGGATGGACATTCAGCATTAAGCATATCTTGTGAATATGATCCTCATATAGAAACGACCTCAATACAGGAGTATTGATTTCTACGGCTTCATTTAACATAGATAATTCATTTCTTTTTCCCTCACTTGTGTAAGCCTCCTAATATGTATTTTCTGTTTGTGAATCTGATTGCTGGTGACTGTCAGATTCTGCTTGTTACTACTAATGTGCATATTCACGTCATGATTATCTTTTCCCCTGAACGTCTTTTCTTTTTAATGGGAACTGAATACTTCATTCAAAAATGAAGAAACAAAGTTACGATAAACTTTACGAAGCTAATGAGTGATCTTTCATCATTTACCACCTTCACAATAAAGGTGGTGATGATCAAGAACACAAAAATTATGCCTCAGATCTTGGGCAATCTTAGTGCCCCCTGAACGTCTAGAGTAATGAATTCAAAGTGTGAAAAAGTGAAGTTGAATATGAGCTCATGTCTAGCTTTATGATTTACCACATGTGAACTGCAGAGAAAAAACTATGGCGGTTTTCCTATTAACTGTCCATCTCCGATGGTTATCCTGACAATAGCATCTTAATATTACCTCCGGTCTTATTTATAAGATCTTGTATGTAGATTATAAATAAAGTCTTATAATTAGGACATGAGGTAGTATATTATTTGTAGCTAGGCTTATTCTAATCGAGGCGCAGTCTATCTTCTAACAGTCTCGCCATAACTCATGATAAACATTGTTTTTGTTATAAGCATGCATGATAGATAGAGAACTGTTATTTATTAGTAATATAATAGCCTGTGCATTTGCAAGGTCGGCTTCCTATACATTTTGTATTTTATATTGATAATTATCTTCTCAAATTAATGAGACTGGAGTTTTAGGCGACAAAAAGTCCAATTTACATGATATATTAGACTTTTGTCTCTTTGTAGAAAAAGAAAAATGGATCCCCCCTGTGAAAACTCTTTCACCTGTCATTGAAATATTTGGGACGAGCTTTTGAGCGGGTATTAAGTTCGCAATAGTCCTGATAGTTCTGATAGGGATTTGTTCCGATTTTTTCAATAAACTTTCCTTTTCTTGTAAGGATAAAAAATATAGCATATTTTTTCCTGCCACCGACTAAATGTTGCAATGTTGTCGGCCTGATTTAGGCTTTTCTTTCTTTCTTTCTTTTTCTAACCCAAACATTGGAGGATTTGGCAAAAGAACTGTTCCCATCATCCAAATCTTCTTCTGAACTTCAGTCATATCCTTTGAATTCCATTCTTTTTTCAGCTTTAAAACATTAGCAATTTGAAAGTCCATGACCCTTGTAATACTTCCAAAACGTTTGTAGAAAATGAACTCTGGTTGCACATCTGAAAGCTATCCATCCACGTTTTGTTCCATCTCGAGCTTGGCATGATGATGAGAAGCAGTGAGGCCTCTTGTTTCATATTGTGTTTTGTTGATGAACCAATCTATGCTATTCAGAAATGTGATTAGCTGTTGCACACAGTATTTCCTCAAGAGGACTTGTATAAATACATTACGCTTCTCGTCTCCCGCTCTCTTTCTGTTGCACTGTGTTCTTTTCAGCAACTCCTCACAAAAGCATGTGTTGTCTCGTTAATAAAGTTGTTTCATCCCGTGATTTACCCTCTCGGGCTTCGTAATTCTTTGCAAGGCCACCTCCTTTTCTTGTTCTTACATCCTTTTTCTTCCCTTTTTTTAATCTTTCTCGGAATAAGTACCTTTCTGGGTATGTATCTGACCAGAAGACTCGGATGAAATTGTAGAATTAAATGATTGATATGTGTCATACGGGCGTGATCCAGTTGCAATTTACAAGTGTGTCCCAGGTCTCATATCCAAACTATGATCTGTCAATGAAGGTTGAATTTGGCGCAGGACTCCCCTTTCGAGCTCAACAATAGAGTTCTAAGTCTCGCAATTATATGATTTTATTGTCTTGCTAAGTTGAGGTGATTTGTGCACCTGAATTAAATATTTAACATCTTGACACTCTTGAATTCGAACAACACTGTGGCAGTGCATATGATTTTTTTGAGGCAGATTAAAACACAGCTATTTTCATTGAAGAACCTGCTTCAGAACTTGGTCTTGATCCTTCTATTTCCACCCATATGATGCGTTGGTCGACTGCTCAAATCACGTTGTTGACAGCTTAGCTTTCTCTGGTTTGTCAAATTGTTACTGGTGTATTAGCCTAAATCTTTAGAAGGTGAATCAAAGAGCGCAACGCTTAATCCTGGATATACTGAAATTTCTTCATGACTTGTGGTGGAATTACTCAGTATCTCCGGTATTTAATATAAGAGTTAGCTTGACATTCAGTTTGATTCTAAATATAAAATCTTAATTTATTTTTTCTCTCTTTTATCTATTTTTTTTAAAGTAATGCTTGAAGTCAGTGCATATGTTAAAATTCTATAAAATAGTAGTTCTAACTAATAGATATTATTAGCGAGAGTGTTTTAAAAAAGACAATGCATATTTATTTCAAATGACTAGCTTAATAAGTTTTTTAATTTATTTAAATTAATTAACTCTCTTATATGAAGTATTAGTTTGAGTGATATCAGCATATTTAAGTACTGTTAGTATACAGTGATATCAGTTTTTGCCTTTGGAATTGAGGAACATAAGAACATGTGCAAATCCTCACCTCACGTGTGTACGGCGATGAAGGCTTTTGCAGTGAGCTCGGCCAAATTTGATGATGTTCAACATTCGACATTGCGAAGATTTAGTGAGGTTGTCTCGGGCCAGTCTTCATACTTTTGACCCTCGAGGACAAGAAGGTAAATTTCAAAGAGAAGGCTATGTGATGAGTCTAATGACACCTCAGCCATTAGAGCGGGTTCATCAAATGAGACACGTGGCACTCTATGCTTAGCAGGGGAAAAAGTAGGGAATTGAAGGGATGCGGTGCATAATTACGGGAATAAGAAAAAGAAAAGGGGGCCTAGAGGAAGTTTTTTTGCTATTTCCTTTTTGTTCTTCTGTCAATTCTTCTACGCATATTTTCTCATTTTTATCAGGGATGATGAAACTCCTAGTCTCCTGAGTTTACCTCAATTATCGTTTGATCACTGAAATTTAATTTTTATTAATTAAGATCATAAAATTTCATAACCATACGTAATTAGTCCTTGCGATTTGAAAATATATAATCCTAAACTCACATATAGTTTAAAAACATTAAAAACATTAACTTAAGGTGCTAGCCAAAAAAATACTAACTTAAGGATGTCAACCACTACTTTCACATGATTATAAAAACACGCTAACTATATAAATAAATTAAAGAATTGAATTATAGAATTAGTTTAGTTATTAAATATTTTAATATTAAATATTTTTTTTTTACCTCCCATGAGATTTTGAAAGCTAAAGGACAAGACTACATAAACCTTATATATATGAGTGACTGAGTCATTCATGATAAATTCTTGTCTCGGAGCATGGTAATAAAGTCGTATAGTTGAAACTAATGATGATTACCCATGTGTTGAATTTATGCATTTATTTTTTCGTGTTATCCCTCCCACAATATTAGCATTTACTTCCGATCCTCTTAACGTATATTTGATGTTTATGGTTACATAGAAGTAAAGAAAAGAACGTCGTAGCTTTTTTTTTTTTTTAAATAAATGAGGTTAGGGGAAATAGAAAAAGATCAATTAAGGACAACTTGCTGTTTTTAAATTTATATTTTTATATTTGATCTTTCGAAATAGTTATAATTTTTATGAGTTTATTAATTATAATTGAATTTTTTCACATATAATATTGGCAAGGTGTTACTAAATTAGGTAGGAAAAGCTCTCCCTGTTAGCTCGTCTTTACCTAGCCCACAATGGTTAGAATTTTTATCGGACATGGTTGGATAGCGAGCTGCAAAACGTGGCCTGTTTATCTTTCGAGTATGGGGCTTGTCCTACCCAACCCTACTCATATGTAACACTAGTCAACCACTTTGACCAAAAAAAGCCAACCTCTTCTTGTATTGCAAAGAAAAAGGAAAAAGAAAAAAAAATTGTTGATCCAATGATTATGCATAAAAATTTAGAAACTTAATTTATCAAACGTAAACTTGAGGAACTAAATAGCTGATACAAAGACAAAAATTTCACTATCTCTTTTAACTACATTGTGTCTACTTTGTAGATTTTCCCTTTAATTTTTACGAGAGCGGAGATCTAGGATTACTATTACCATTAAATCTGTTATACTTACCAACTAATTTTGTGATCGCGCGCATCGCATCTATTTGAATCCATTTCATGCGCCGAATCAGCAATAAATTAAGGACAAGCTGGACCGCTGATGTTCATTGTCTTCAAGGAAATCCTCCAGTCAAACAAATCGCAAGCACTTAATATAATATATTCAATGTTCGGCCAAAAAAAAAATACAATGCTTATAACTTCCAGAGTTTTGGGCCAGAAGCATAAGAAATGGTCTAAATGAGTAAATCTTTTTTCTTTTGGACAGAAATCTTAAAATTTTTTTAGAATGATAGATGCTTTTTTTAAGGACTAAACTATAAAATGAAATATTTCTAAAACTAAGAAGCATGATGTAAGTATTTTTTTTTCTATAGAAGATTAAAAGATTTTTAAATGAAGAGTTGAACATTTAGTTATGAATTTTTAAAATTAGACTGAAAATATATAATTATTAAATAAATAGTAACTTGAGAGTCAAAATACAAGATTTTAATACACGGACTTAATTCATGATTTGTCTAAATCATAATGTTTTCAAATGTGTACATAAAGAGGTAAAATAACGGATGTTTCAATACTTCATATTCAATGAATCTACGTAAATTACTGGCATTAGCATTTTGGGCCAAAGAGGCAAAGCAAAACTGTGTAAATTAAATGAGAGCATTGATATTGTTGAACAGGAACTTGGTCAATGATAATGGAAATAGGCAAGATGATCCTGTGAGGGAAACACAGATGCATGGATTAGGGGCTTGTTTGGATCTGTTTTTTCTAAGCGAAAAACTTTTACCTAAATTGAGACAAAATTTGTGTCACATATTTACTTTATATTTGATAAATTACACTTCAAAATTTGTCTTTGAAAGTTTCTACCACTATTTTAAGTAAGTCCTAAAATGTTCCTGGTCGAATGTCACGCAGTAATATGCAGGAAGGTGAAGCAAAGGATTTTCAATATGGGATTTTTGTGTGGGAGAGGCTGCTTTTATCATTTATTCATCGGACTGCAGAAAAAAGGGTCTGTGTTTTAATCAAAAGCGGACCTTAAAAAGCTGAAAATGAAGACCCCACCTCCTCCACACTCTATTTATTACAATGAAAGAGACGCAAACCAGTGAGTTGTGCTTTGTAAACTTGTTCAGATTAGTGTCAAACTCATGTCTTAATTGCACTACTCTACGTATAGATTCATTACCAACAACATTCTCGTATTGGTAATGCTATTACAGTATAATTAGCATTCTTGATTTGGAACAAGAAAGTTTTTCTGCTTCAGCTATGGCGTCTCTCACATCATCATCTCCACTGGTCACTTATGCTCTCAACCCAAGGGCCAGCCCCACTTTTTAGTTGTCCCCCATTTTATTGTTCTTGACATATTCCTCTCGAGTTTATTGCGTAACGAAATTTGAATAACGCGTCTCACTATTCATATGATTTCTTTCTTTCATTTTCCTTTGTCCAGCATCAAATTTTCCCTCAGTTGTAGTTAATTTATTCGTAGTTACCGTATACTTACTCTCCATAAAATGACAGCCCATGAAGTTATCGTTAAATTGGTCAATTTCAATGGCAATTAAGATTTTGAATTTATGGCCATTGAGTTTCTTGGTTGAGGTGTGATAAATATGAATTAATGTTTCCAATTCAACACTCCGCCAATCGTATTATTTTATCAACGAAAGCGGAAAGATAGAGAGATATAAAGAATCAATTTCAATGACAATTAAGATTTTGAATTTATAGCCATTGAATTTCTTAGTTGAAGTGCGATAAATATGAATTCATGTTTCCAATTCAATACTCTGTCAATCATATTATTTTATAAACAAAAATGGAGAGATATAAAGAACAGCATTATAAATATTTTCTCGTTGAAATATCATGGCATGTTAATAAGCACAAGGTAATTAGGATTAATTGAAAAGAAAGTTGTGAAACTAAAAATATTTTGACGATAGCAACATTATAAATTGGTAGAAAAAACGCTTGGTAAATAATGTGAAAGGCAAATGACATTATACGAAGAAAATTTGAGTATAAAGAGGACAGAGATGGAAAGGGTTTCTCATAATTTGATTGGGAGAGGGTAAATTGGTTGTAATGCAAAATCCAAAACCAAAAAGCATGCCCGTAAAACATGGGATGGATTTCGGGGCATATGGGTTGCCTTCCCTTTTGCATTTGTCAAAAATTCCCACAAAGGAAAGAGGCTGAGTATCTGATTTGTGGTCCATACCCTCCTTCATGATTGACCTTAATCCAATTTGCTCCCTTCTTGCTGACTTAACCCTTTTTCCCCCCATGTACTTGCCTACACATAACTCCATGCCTATAAGTGTATTTATTCAAAAAGCCAGAAGAACGCAACAGTGAAAACTTGGATCTTTATGCTTTCAGCCTCATATGATAGGATTGACCATTGAGGTGTGAAGGGGAATGAACCATGCTTTGAAAGCAAAGCACATGGAACACCCCGTCAAAAATGGATCAAGGTTAAAGTATAAAGAGCCCAACTACAAAATGTAGACTCAAGCCGTCCCAGCATAAAAAAGCCTACCTATCCCTTTCAATTTCAATCATTAGCCATCTTGTCCAAATCTTGAATAGCCCCGGCAAAAAAAAGTAGACCGAGACCACGCCACAATTGACAATTTCAATCCAAGACGCCATCGAGAAAGCCAGAGAACAAACAAAGATAAGGAAACATTCACAAGAGGGCAAGGCACTCGTTCACAGAGATGTGCATTGGGTATACATCCCCCAGGTGGATGGGGTTTTGGCAGACGCAATCACTGTTCCCTAATCACTATCACTCATATTATAATGTTAGATGAATTGAAAATGAACCATGCAAGGAGGACATGCTTGCAGCCACAGGGCTCAATGATTCGAGGCATATAGCATCATATGAGGCTTAAAAGTGAGTAGGCCCCAGAAGGGTCCCACCATCCCCATGGCATCCAACAGTGCCGTTTGTTTCGAAAACAGGGCAAAACCTGATCGCCAAAACACAATAATAATAACAGTAAACAAGTCACATACAAACACAGTCCCGTCCAACCCAAATTTTACTCATCAAAGCGAGCTTGCGGCGACAGAGAATATGGATCCTTGTTTGCTGAATCTGGCAAAATACGCACATTCTGCTAATCTGCGCTGCCCCTCCACGTTCTGAAATTCGTGTGCATTTATTATTGTTCAACGGAAACGTATTATTTTTTGCCCCAGTGAGTTCTATGCATAAATGCATGCCACTTCAGAGAGAGAGGGAGAGACTAATAACAGTGTTGTACGACCAAGGGTGGTCGCTGTTTAAAAAAACGCTCGCTGCGTTATATAACATTTTCCCTCTTCTGCTTCAAACTATCGCTATCCTTCGTGGTCATGCCTCCTCTTCTCTTTCTACTGGTGCTCTGCGCACCGTTCCTAACCTGCGCCGCTCGAAGCAGCGTCGCCATTGCTGAGATCGCGGCCCTGACGTCCTTCAAGCTCAACCTTCAGGATCCTCTCGGCGCTCTCAACGGTTGGGATCCTTCCACGCCGGCAGCTCCTTGCGATTGGCGCGGAGTCGCTTGTTACAGCAACAGGGTCACGGAGTTGCGTCTGCCTCGGCTTCAACTCAGCGGCCGGCTTACTGACCGTCTTTCCGACTTGCGTATGTTGCGGAAGCTGAGCCTTCGCTCTAACTCCTTCAACGGGACCATTCCCTCGTCGCTTGGTAAATGTGCCTTCCTGCGCGCCGTGTTTCTACAGTACAACTCATTCTCTGGCACTCTCCCGCCGGAGATCCGAAACCTGACCGGCCTTCAGATTCTTAATGTCGCGCAAAACCACCTCTCCGGCAGAGTCCCCGGCGACCTCCCGTTGAGCCTGAAGTACGTCGACCTCTCGTCGAACTCCTTTTCTGGCGAGATTCCAAGTGCTGTTGCCAACCTTTCTCAGCTCCAGCTAATCAACCTGTCCTACAACCAGTTCTCGGGAGCGATTCCGGCGAGCTTTGGCCAGCTTCAGCAGCTCGAATACCTTGGCTTGATCACAATCTTTTGGGAGGAACTTTGCCTTCGGCACTCGCTAACTGCTCTTCCCTCGTGCATCTGAGCGTAGAAGGAAATATACTTGGAGGAGTGATTCCGGCGGCCATTGCAGCTCTTCCGAGGCTTCAGGTGATATCTCTCTCTCATAATAATCTTACCGGATCGATCCCGGCTTCCATGTTCTGCAACATTTCGGTCTACACGCCGTCTCTTCGAATCGTTCAGTTAGCATTTAATGGTTTCACGGATATTGTCGAGCCGCAGGCATCAACGTGTTTCAGTGTTCTTCAGGTCTTGGATATACAGCACAATAGCATACATGGCACGTTTCCCTTGTGGATAACGAATATGTCCACGTTAACGATGCTTGATGTTTCGAGATGCATTTTCTGGCCAGATTCCGTCAGAAATTGGAAGCCTCGCCAAAGTGGAGGAGTTAAGGATGGCCAACAATTCATTTACTGGGATGATTCCAGAAGAGATCAAGAAATGTGCTTTTCTGCTTCGTTTTTTGGTTATATGTCAGGTCTGAAGGTGCTGTCCCTTGGAGGGAATCTTTTCTCTGGTTCAGTTCCGGAGAGTTTTGGTAACCTTTCGGCGCTGGAAACCCTGAGTATGGGAGGTAATAACTTGAATGGAACCGTACCTGAGCAAGTCATGGGATTGAGCAATATTTCAAGTCTTAATCTTAGCGGAAATAAGTTTACGGGTCAAATATCTCCAAGTATTGGGAACCTGAGTCGATTAATGGTTCTCAATCTGAGTGGCAACGGCTTTTCTGGAAAAATCCCTGCTAGTTTGGGGAATCTTTTCAGGCTAACTACGCTTGACTTGAGTAAACAAAATCTTTCTGGAGAGTTACCATTTGAGCTTTCAGGATTGCCAAATCTGCAAGTTATTGCTTTGCAGGAGAACAGATTATCTGGGGACGTTCCTGAAGGGTTTAGCAGTTTGATGAGTCTGCGATATGTGAACCTGAGCTCTAATTCGTTTTCGGGGCATATTCCTCAAAATTATGGCTTTCTTCGATCACTGGTTGCTCTTTCTTTGTCTGACAATCACATTACAGGAATAATTCCTCCGGAGATAGGAAACTGCTCCGATATGGAGATTCTTGAGCTTGGTTCAAATTCTTTGACAGGTCATATTCCAACTGATCTCACTCGACTCGCGCATTTGAGAGAGCTTGATTTGAGTAGAAACAATTTAAGTGGAGATATACCCGGCGATATCTCCAAATGTTCATCCTTAAATGCTCTGCTGGCGGATCACAACCGTCTTTCAGGCACTATACCGGAGTCACTGTCCGAGTTATCAAACCTGGCAATGCTGGATCTCTCTGCTAACAACTTGAGTGGGGAAATATCGAGTAATATTTCCATGATGCCTAATTTAGTGTCCTTCAATGTCTCGGGAAATAACCTGGAAGGTGAGATACCGCCAACCTTGGGCGCTCGGTTCAACAATGCCTCTGCATTTGCGGATAATCAGAACTTATGTGGGAAGCCGCTGAATAGGAAGTGTGAAAATGTAGTTAGTAGGGACAGGAAGAGGTTGATTGTGTTGATTGTCGTAATTGTTGCTGGAGCTTGCTTACTATTGCTGTGTTGCTGCTTCTACATATACAGCCTTTTGCGGTGGCGTAAAAGGCTTAAGGAACGGGCGTCTGGGGAGAAAAAAAGGAGTCCTGCTAGGGCGAGTTCTGGAGCGAGTGGAGGTCGAGGCAGCACTGATAATGGGGGACCAAAGCTGGTCATGTTTAATACTAAAATTACACTTGCTGAAACCATTGAAGCAACCAGGCAGTTTGACGAAGAAAATGTGCTGAGCAGAACAAGGTATGGATTGGTATTCAAGGCCTGCTACAACGACGGAATGGTGCTTTCAATTCGCAGACTCCAAGATGGATCGCTGGACGAAAATATGTTCAGGAAAGAAGCAGAATCACTAGGGAAAGTGAGGCACCGAAATTTAACCGTTCTTAGAGGTTACTATGCCGGGCCACCAGACATGAGGCTACTGGTCTATGACTACATGCCCAATGGAAACCTTGCAACCCTCCTTCAAGAAGCTTCTCATCAGGATGGTCATGTTCTGAATTGGCCAATGCGCCACCTCATTGCGCTTGGGATTGCTCGTGGCTTAGCTTTCCTACACCAGTCCTCACTGGTTCATGGGGACGTGAAACCACAGAGTGTCCTGTTCGATGCTGATTTTGAAGCCCATTTGTCAGATTTTGGGCTCGACCGTCTTACAGTAGCCACCCCTGGCGAACCCTCCACCTCGACCTCAGTTGGCACATTGGGTTACGTATCACCTGAAGCTGCAGTAACAGGGGAAGCCACAAAAGAGTCTGATGTGTACAGCTTTGGCATAGTGTTGCTCGAGCTTCTTACAGGAAAGCGACCGGTGATGTTCACGCAGGATGAAGATATAGTGAAATGGGTAAAGAAACAGCTGCAAAGGGGTCAAATCACGGAGTTGTTGGAGCCAGGATTGCTTGAGCTTGATCCAGAATCGTCCGAGTGGGAAGAGTTCTTGCTCGGTGTGAAAGTAGGCTTGCTCTGCACAGCACCCGACCCTCTCGATCGGCCAACCATGTCTGACATCGTGTTCATGCTTGAAGGCTGCCGCGTCGGACCCGACATCCCATCCTCCGCCGATCCCACCTCTCAACCTTCGCCGGCGTGACCAAAAGGGGACGTTTTTCCCGGTCAAGTTTGACATCTTTTTGGGTTTTAATCCTTTTTTAATTATAAAAATTGTTGTAGCTCCGATTTGCTTAGCTGGAACTATTTCTGTCCAAGATTTCAAACAATTTTTCTGTCATTTTTTAAAAAGCACTTTTGCTCAATTTGCTGTTTGGAACTGATGCCGGACTCGAAGTTGGCAAGGTGGGACCACAAAAAGTAAAATAAAGTGATGCTCTCATCCATCTTCACTCCCACAGTCAACTATTTTGACAATCCGGTTTACAAGATGGAAGGGCGCGCATGGGCCCATCTGGCATTTCCCGCCAAAAGTAGAGGTACCCGAAGGAACTGTGATCGACTGATATCCTGACATCATCATGTGGTTTTAACGCAGGTTCAGGCCAAAATGCCAAATACACATATATGGCCGTTAACGTTGTGGGGCTGGAGCTCGACGTACACCCTGTTTCCCAGGGCAGGGCATCGGGTGCCTCGCCTTCCACAGTCCCTTCAGGAGCCACGTGGCTTTCTCTGCTGCCTTAGTTTTTTGATCGGAGGCAACGGGAAAGTGAAGAGCAGGGAGAGAGAGAATAAACAAGAAGACAAAAGTTCACAAAAATTCAGGCCCCACTATATCTGCAGCAAGGAGTGGGAAAGCGTCAGGCTTTCAGTAGAGAGCAGGGTAGATGATTGATTAGGCCCACGGCCTCAACAGCCCTGTGATCTTTTATTTTGGGTGGGGCTTTATCCGCATTAATGGTTATTCGTATTGGATTCTATCAATTGTTTGTTCTGTCATGAAACCAATCAGTTTTAGCTTTTGAGGCGTGCTTCATCTCGGGGTAACCTTGTTATTTTGCGCCCCAGTTTCCTTTATTTATGTCTCTCTGTTTTTACCCGGGGTTAAGAAGTTTCCTGTTCCATTCTGGGGAATTTCTGCTTTATATCTCTCGTGCTGCCCATTTCATATGTGGAGGCAACGGTAACAAGATTCCCCACTTGCAGCATAAAAACAATCGCAAAGGAACAGTGGGGTTTTATTGGAATCAGATACAAGATGGTTGGCAGTGAAGAGTAAGCATAGAACCCGATAAAAATCGTGCAGTGACCGTTAAGCATCCTTCCCGATTTTATAATCGTTTGAGGCATGTGCAAATTCGTATACTGGTGTTTTTTAATTCGCCAGAAGTCAGTCCAACGGGGTTCCCATCATTTTTGTCGTTTAAGATGAGAAAGAGAGACTCCATTTTGGATCTTATGCTTGGTGGTCAAACGAAATATGTGAGGAAAAAAACAGCTAAGACATACGATGCCTCACAAGTCCAACTTCCTGACATTTAATTATTTGCGACAAGCTCGGAAAAGTTGGCGCTCTTTAGTTTTAAAATTTGAAGATCTGTGTTTCTATTTATCAGGGGTGCGATTCTTCTTTTGTCATTTTTCGGAGAGACGGGAGCAATCGTTTGGATTGCCATGTTTTTAACTGGGAACTGGAACAACTAAGCTGTCAAACGTATTGACATTTTCATTGACTAAGAACCAGAGAAGAAAGCTAAGAAACCTTGTTAAAGAAAAGATCTGATGTTCATCAAAAGTGAGATCTGATGTTAAAAAGTGGCGAATATATTCAAAGAGGTTCATAGGATAAGAACCTCCATCTCATTAGATTGGGCTCAGCGACTCGTATTCTCAACGGCCCATAATGGCTATATCAGAATAAGGGGAAAAAGGAAGAAGAAGACAATAAGCAGCAATTATAAGAAAATTATCTAATAAAAAATAAAATCTTGGTCTATTTACTGGCACTTTTCAAACAAAATTATTTTACAAATGGATTTAGGGCTTGTAAAAAATATACTTATTGTTGATAAGTATGTTTTACATACCTAAATATGTATAATTCTGAGGTTATAATTTATAAATATTATATATATTAGATATTTTCTCTCATATTTACTTACAGAAGAAAAAGAAAAGGAATTTTGAAACTTGACCACAGGATAACATCTTTTTTTGGTATTTTTTGGGGGCGGGGGGCGGGGTGGAATTTGACTTTGGACTAGAAGGGAGCACAACGGAGCCATTCTTGGAGCTTTTCTGACATGAAATGTATAAGAGAGAGCTAAGAAAGAAGACAGATCAAGATGAGATCGGCAAGGTTGTACCCAAAAAAAAAAAAAAACAAAGAAGAAGAGATCGACAGGGAATGAGTTTATCTTTTCTTTTGCACTTCGAAAAACATATTTTGGGATTTCAAAACTGTTTCTATTGTTTATTTCCTGCATGAATTGCTAAATCTTCGAAGATATAGAGATTTAGTCTATAGCCTTTAGACGAGGAGCCCAGTTGAAGATAAACTTAGGCCTTGTTTGGTTCAGTAGAAGGAAAGGGAAGAAAGGTTAATTAAAAAGAAGAGGGGAGGGGAGGGGGGAGGGAAGGAGGGCTATGATTTTGTTTGGTTGAAAGGAAAGGGATAAGAAGGAATGTTTCTTATTTGGTTTAGAAAAGAAGGGAAAAGAGAGCTAATTATAAAGTAATAAACATATCCTTATCTTTTTATTTAAATTTTTTATTGTTTATTATAATATTTATTTCAGAATTATTGTTTTCTAATTCATCAATCTCAAAAAACCAGTCATTGCACGTACGTACAAGGAAAAAATTATATCCATTTTAAATAATGATTTTGTTAATTATAACATATCATTTGATTAATTTCAATAGGCTTTTTAAAATCTTATGCTTCAAAAAAATATGATAAAACTAAAAAATAAAATAAGATAGAAATTTCAACATTACGTCTCATTAATTTTATAATTATAACGTAATATATGCGTGTATAAAGGTAAGATATACACATATCATAAAAAATACATACTTGTTACATCATATTATGAAAAAATATTATAGCTAGAGGTGTGGCTACGATGTCAGAAGAAGTAGCGTAGCGGGGCTCTGAGAAAGAAAGAGGAGGAGGTAAAAAAAAAAAAAATTCAGTGAGAAAGAGCAAACTGATAATATGAAATAATTAGTAAAGATAATTTAGTCAAAATAATATATAAATTTCTTTTCCCTTTAAAAAGATTTCAAATTTAGAGGGAGCAAGAGGAGAGAAGATGAGTACTGAAAAACAAAATTTTTTCTTTCCCCTCTCTTCTTCATTTTTGAATTAAACATGTTTAACCATCTTCTCCTCTTCCCTTTTCTTCCCGCTCGTTCAAAAACCTCCAGCCAAACAGTGCGTTAAAGTAAATCTTGGGGAATTCTGACAACAACATCCAAGAACCTGCTAAGGAAGCAATTGTGAGTCTTCCGTTTTCGAGTAACGGCAGGAATTATCAGGATTAATTAAACTATGAGCACGTGAAACCTTTAAAAAAAAAAAAAGAAAAGAAACTTTATTGAAAGAGACTACGGAGCAGCAGCAAGGCTCTTGTGGGGAGCAGGGGAGCTGAAGGGAGATCGCATCTCCCATCTAATGTGAAGGCTGTGAAAGGGGATAACGCCATATCAGATTAGCCACTTTTGTCTTATTAGAATGATAGAGCTCTAATCTTGTTTGGACTCCAAATTGACAATTTCAATACGGCAAGAGGCAGAACTACAGTTTCACAGGCTTTAATTCCATGACTAGCTCGCCCCCAACTAGATTTAGCTTCGGCTAATAAGATCAGTACATGTGCTTCACAAAACTGCGGTACATTTTTATGGTAATCAGCTCTTGATTGGCCAACAAAGATAATGAGAATCATTTCAACATAAATTGCTTTCGCTGTTAAACTTTAATTTTGCTCACACAAGGTCAAATTTATGACGCCCAAAGCCCAATTTAGGATTTCAATAAATTATAATAGTGCTCTGCCAACTTCTTTTGATACTAACTTTTGAAATATCCGTATCAAATCTCCAAATTAAAGATATCGATACCACTCGTTTTTTAATGCTCTTCTATATCTCCTTCATGATAAGGCCATAATCAAGGGGGCCCTCTTTCTTTCCTTTTTTTTTTGTGAGAAAAAATTCTTATAAAACATTGCTTGCGATTGCATTATATAGCCAGTAGGGGGAGGGGCATAGTCAGCGCCCAGAGCAGTCCAATAATCCTTCTGCAGGTGGACTAAAACAAAAGAGTGATCAATGTTCTAAGTTCTAACTATCCACAATCCACAGGCTCTACGACCCGTCGTTTTTTTGGAAACTTAATCGAATAAAATTCTCATGATGTATGCTAAGGAAGTATATATAGACGCACACATTCCTTCAGCCCTGTTATACTATTGATCATCAGCTTCCTCTGCCCAAAAGTATTGCCCAAGCTAACACTCAAGAACTTTCAAGTTTCAACTCAACCAATCAAAACAACTAAATACAATAGTAAATCTGCGTAAGAAATCACCTCGAAACTTCAAGCGTATTGAAGCCGCAGACAAATATCCAACTTGGTTAAGTCCGTATACACTAGCAAATTCGTGCAAGTACTCGTAGGTTACCACAATACGATCGCATGACCAATTGGCAAAGGCAACTGCTGATTACACTAAATACAATAGGAAATTTGGCATAAACAGTTAATCTACGTAAGAAAAGTCAGGAACCGCTTTCTCGTGGCATTAGAAAGCCAAACCTGACCAACCACTATAGCTCTCCCACTCCTTTGAATGACTTCATTCTCATTTACATCGTACTCGGAGAAACATGTAGCATCGTGGAAAGTTGCATTCAGATTAAATTCGTTTTTATTATATTCATACTTAAAATTGCACTGATGTCAGTCTGCCTAGAATCTAAATTTGCATCAACTTCAATCAACTGGATAGACACAACTTTGTAACTATAACAATGCGTATAAGAAGAAAATCATAAGTGTAGAGAGAGAGATACCTAACATCAGCATCTCCTACAATAGCATCAATGGCCACGCCTGAGCAGAAATCCCGGCAAGACCACAAGTAAAGCCGATTTAATCACTGGTTCTGGCCTCATGATATCTCTGCACCCACACCTAAATTGGCCGAACAATTTAAGAAGGCTCTAGATCAAAAGGGAGAATATGTGTCCGAACCCTTTGGGGAAAAAACAGAGAGAGGAATCTACAAGTTTTGGAAAGGAGAGGCCAAGTCTAAGCAAAAGAGTATTTAATTTTCTTTTGCCGCCGAAAAAGGTATTCTATTTCCTTCATTCCCTGTTGGATCATGACAAATGAGCTACAAAATCAAACTCAAGAAGCATAAATTAACCAACTGCAATCATATCCTACGTATTTGTTTGTTCACATATTAATATCAATTGATGACAAGTTAGCAAGTTTTCGTGGAAAAAGAAAACAAACGTGTTGAAATGTAAAAAGGCTGGTAGTTTGACTAGATAAAAGTTTACAAGTTAGGCGATGAAGCGTTGAAAAAGTTCAGTAATTCGAAAAGGTTATAAATTCCTGCGTAAATTGATCCACAAGCAAGAATGATATCCCCCACAATTACATGATGTCTTTTACCAAAGTATTCCTCCATTATATTCCTTTGTAATTAACTTGAACTGAGCAAAAAAATATCATTTCCAATGGTTTTTCAGAGCAACCAAACGATTAAGAACTTACAAACAGGGGAAAACTAGAGCAAGGGCAGCTTAGAGGAAGCCGTAAATAAAGTAGTTCATAGCTGCTGAACCCACTCATTCTTCTCACAGTCTGGTTGATTGTGGGTTCTTAACTTTTTTTTAAATGTTGTTCTGGGTGCAAATTTCGCAACAAATTAAAGGCCGGGAAAAAAAAAAGAAGAATAATGTCCACATGTTCGTCTCAGATGTGATAGGGGGCATGGGCCCGAAGGATGTGTGAAAGAAGTCCTGTTAAACATCACCGACGTAATGATAAGCCGATGCACTGCCACTTTGATATGGAAGTGTAATTATTCTCCAGACTTTGACATTACTTCTCTGTGAGTTGTCCACGTGGCCTGGCCTGTTAAAATGAGTCCTTTATGGCAAAACAGCAACAACAAAAGCATGGCTGTACAAGCAAATAGCAACCGGAGAAGCAAGCATTGATAGGTGAGAAAAGTGAGTACGTACTATTCTCACGCTCTTATTCAGCTTTCGTCGGCACTCTGCATTCATTCTGGAGCATCATGTCGTCTGAAGAAAGCATCCTCTTTTGCCCTTGCGGTATTTACCTAAGGAAGTTGTCCATGTGTTTTCTTTAATTATAACCGATCAGTCTTTTTCAGAGATCCGTAACAAAGCTCAATAAACGCATAAAATGTTCATAAAGAAAGAAAGGAAAAGGTAATACGGCGAGAATCATACCTTTTTGACAGAACAACCCAAAGAAAATTCCCTTATTAATTGCAAAAGATCGCATCTAGAACCCACAGTCATACACATCAGTGCAACCAGAGATCTAACTAGTCAATTCCTAGCGCGTTGTGATCAATTTGAGATGGACCCTCCACTGAAACCTTGGGAAACTCTTGTCAAACACGGGGCAGAGGCAAAGCCTAATCAATCAAATTCCACCATCATTTCCGAAGCAGGACCCGTCGGCTCGCCTGTGGCCATCACGCTATTCCCCATTCATTCTTTCTTAATCACTGGCCCATCTTCAACTCCATGCCTCCGGAGTTCGTGTTCAAGTGAATTACTTACCTATCACTATCAATTTTTAGGAAGTAGATACTCTCAGATTCCTGGTTCTTTTTTTTTTTAGAATTTTTTATCGTTTGATCAAATAATGAATGTTCAGATTTTATACTTTATAAAACTATTATTATAATATTACATAAATTAGAAAAAAAAGATGGATATCTATTTTTTAAAATATTAAATTTGAACAATCTATTATTTAATCTAATGATGGAAATGAGATTCCGAAAAGAAAAGAGGAACCAATTTTTGTGTAGTTCTCTGTTGTGTTATACCTAACTAATGTTGCCGAGAACAAACCAAACAAAGAGTGACATTTGGTCGAACATGTGATGTGCGTGCCCGGGGTGATTGAGTATTCCTTTTGCCTGGCGAAGGGTCGGTCTATCGCAGCACATCACTATTTTCTGTGTCATTTCTCGTTATACAACCACAGTAGACGGGCAGAGGAACCCTAATTACTAAGGGCAATAGGGGTCTCAATTTGATAAAAGCATTTTTGGAACCTGCTGGGAATAGGAAATTAGACACAGGAATATCCACTCTTGAAGAGAACATAATGAACAATCATGGCCTCATAGAATGAGAAATTGCTGGTTGATTAAAACTTATAATTTCACTCCCAAAGTTCTAGAAAAAGAGGGAGAGGAATTCGATCAGGGTCTAAGAACTGGGGTGTTAATCATATAGGACTGAGTGAGGTGTTAGGGCTGGGCTCTAGAAAGCAAGCAAGCATGCATATTAAATTGGTGTTTCAGGGAAATGTTTGGAACTGAATTAGCACCTATAAGTGGTGCAATCATGGTTGATGTCCCCCTTCAAAGAAGCTTGCCGTTCACACCTAAGTAGAAAAGCACAAACAGGGAGTGAAGTTGAAGACTCTTCTGGCAAACCCCGTAACATTCTTTTTTTGCCCTTTCATATTCCTTTTCATTATGAAGCAGAGATTTCATTGTGATTTCTCCTTACCAACCACCGTCAACTCTAAATTAAATTCCACAAGCAGCCTTAGAGAAACAAAATAGTAGGAGGGAATGAGGTCAGGTTCGGAGCAGTGTCAGTGCCAAAGCCGGTTAACTAATATCCTTCAAGGACCCAGCAAGGATTATTTCTAATAGCAGATCACACCCAGCCTGTGTTTCTTTATTTATTTTTTCCTTTTTTAAAACTTATTCTATAACTTAAATATTATTATTATTATTTGCACTGAAAATGTAATTTTTGAGGCCCAAAGCTAATATACCAATCAAGGGGCTGTAAAATAATTAATAATAATAACGTTTTAGAACCTTTGAACGGTAGAATCAAATAAAAAACAAATGACTATTGTACACTTTATAAAATAAAGCTCCTTTAACAAATTAATCTGAGTAGCACAAAATCATTTGAAATAAGCTAATCTACATACCATGAATTGGAGCCGCTACCCACATGCTTCACTTGTGAGACTCATAATGTGGGATGAAAAAAATGGTCCAAGCGGGAAATATGTCTCATGAAATCAATGGAAAATCTCGTTTGATACAAAACATTGAAAATGATGGTTAAAAATTGAAATTAAAATTAAAAAAACTTATTAAAAGAGTATCTAGTATGAAGAATTACTTGTTGGTTGGGATTGGACAAACCCATATAGCTAAGTAGGATTTGAAAATACTATGAGAGGAGGTGGTATTCCTCAATCCCATCTACATGTATTTATCTAATCTAATATAATAAGAAATTAGTCCTATTAAATATTTTTTAATGGTTTTTCTTAATTTCAATCCTAATCTTTACCTCTTATTATTAGTGCTTCTTACTAAACCAAACCCAAGACCATAAAATAACCTTAGCTCGTTTATATATATATATATATATATATATATTCACACACACAGAAGCCTTCCTAACTAACTATCCATCATCATGTATCAAGCATTATTCAACGGTCAACATAGAACTCTACGCTAGACCAATCCCTGCTATTTTGTCAAGCTGTCCCCCAAGTTCTAATTTTCTTGATCAGCTCTGACCCTCCGCATGTTCTTTATTTTTTCTATCTCTGTATTTGGCCCGTTAGCGTATTTCCTATTTCGCTGACAGTGCGAGACTCGGATCGCTACTGATTAATATCAATTCCCATTTAAAGTTTTTCCTCTCAATACTTAGTTGCCCATTGATTTTCAATTATATTATTATTTCTACAGCGTGGGAAAACCGCGGGTAAGAAACTCTGAAGTACTCACAATTGTCTAAAGTACTCTCTAGCTATACCACGCTTGCAAAGTGTCAGCAACAATTACACAACGTTAAAATATTAAAAATATGAACAAGGAGTGGGAGAAAGCCAACGAGACTAGTTAGAGGCTGAGTTCTTTGTCAGTCACCACCGCCAGACCACCCGGAAGTGTTTGGTGGGGTCTACGACGGGGTCGCGTGAGCTCAATGATGCGGTCCGCCGCATGATTGCCGACCACCACCGCCGTCCTACGTGGACTACGCCTGTCCACATCATTGTCGCGCTTAATGCTTTATCCTTCTCCATTAATCAACGATTTATGTTCTATATATATATATATATATAAAAAAACTGGTTCTCCAGATTCAGAATGGATAACTACGCCAAATACGAAAGACGACGTCTACTATGCCGTTTTCATCAATTTCATTTGCAGATTTATTTACTATCTGTAGAACCTTTTTTCCCTTCCCAAAGGAAGGAATATCAGTTCAAAATATATCTATCTATTTCTTAAACTTCTTACAACAAGACCTGACGGCTTGGGTAAAAAAGTACAAATGAATTAACAATCATCATCTAAATTTACGAAAATAAATAATATAATATATATATATATATATATATATATATATGAGCGTCACACAGAGTTGTATGGTTTGCACTAATTTATCTCAAACTTTAAATAAGCACACAAAGCACATTTTATCTACAACTATTTTCATGTAAAACGTGGAAGCTTCATAACATAAAACACTGGAGAGTGCGGAGGAAGCTAAGTGAGGGGTAAAGGAGAGCGGGTAATTAATGGTGGGGTTGGCATTTGCAGAAGATAGGCAAAACAAAAAAGAGAGTAAGATGGATAAAAGGCAAAATAATGCGTAAAGCAAATGGGAGGAAGAAAGACACGTGCAGCACGAATTATGATTCCAAAATTAGTAATAATGAGTAATGATTTTGGGTAAAAGTGGCTGTAATTAATTAATTAAGTATCTAATTAAGTAGTACACATAGAGCCACAAACACAAAGGCCTTGTATGTGCGCGCGCCTTGCCTCTCCCTGACGACGCCTGCATTGCCTATATGCGTCGTCACCAATATAACTAAGCCACCTACGTATTCCCTAATTTAATCCTCACCCCTTTACGCACACACTATTCGAATAATTACCCATATGTTTGATGTGAGAAAATTGGAAGGGCAAGGACGGTAGAAATTTTTTTAATGAATTCCATTTAAAAAATTAGGAAAATGAGGTTATAAAATTTTGATAAAAAATACAAGATAAAAGTGCAAATTAAATTAACTTAAAGTTTTTAATCTCACTTCTCTAATTTTGTTAATTGAGCTCATTAAAATTTCCCTTCCCCTCCCATTTCCTCTGTTTCCCTCATTAAGTGATCCTCTCTATATAATTAAGAAATAACTATGCGCTTGTAATTGAAAAAGTGATCGCCTAGGATATGTGACATGGAATTATTTTTAACATTTGGATTGAAAGATACACACACACACAATTCAGATGAGCAACTCTTCGCTTTTTGCGTCTAAATATATATATTGCAACTGATCAAATATGTGCTGGCTTAAATTTTCCAATAATTAAGATTTACATTACGTGCATTTTTTGTACGTGATGTCAAGAAAGAAGAAGGGAGATTTATTGACGATCGATCAATGAACAATAGGGATATGGTTTCACCAAAATGAGAAGCCCAGAGCACGCACCAACAATGAAGAGAGAAGGAGGAATTAACGAAAATAAAGTGGGTGATTAGTTATAAAACAGGGCGGGGAGAAATAAAAGACAAAACAAAGGGGGGTTTGGCTTGGCGGAACATGATAATAGCCCAAGAGATGTGGGATGTTGTTGAAGATGGCGTTGGTGGACCAGATGGAAGACGACGTATATAATTAATAGCCATTGCAATACTAGCTGTTTGGAATTCGTCGCTTTCTATATATTAATTAATTAAGCCTCGCAGGTCTCTAGAAGGCTAATATCACGGTAATAATAATATAGAATGAAAAAGGGGGGTAATTATTACAATTTAATTACCTTGCAAGCTATCAATTCCCGCCCCACACCGTACCCCCTCAACCCCGGAGATCAGAGGCGTTACTTACTAAAGGCTGGAGGCGGACATGAATATCACAGATATTCTTTTGCTGCACTTCCACACATATTGGCCCAAATGGCCCTATCCCTTCACAAATCACCTCAGCCTGCATCATTTATCTAAATTTTTTTCTAATTCTGGAGTGATAGAAGAGATCAGCCGTTTGGATTTGAATCCCAAATTAATGGAGTTGGTTTGTTCTTTTGGGTGGTGGGGGGAGGGGGCGCTTGGCTTTTAATCAGAGCCAAGTACGAGATTGAATACAACGTGGAGGGAAGGGGGGCGTGAGGGAGATATTGCAGCAGTGGATATGTTTTTTTTTTTTTCCCCAGTTATTATTACAATTAATTTTTGAGAATGAATAAATTAGAGGATATATATTATATTGTTTGTCTTGGAAGTAAAGTAGGGCAACATGTTCACCAACCCCTCAGTAGCACGTTGCTGTGCTTCTTCTCACTTTACGTTTTCTCTTCTCTTCTTTTGTACTTGACCCCTTCATCATCATTTCACCAAATACACTGCTCGCACTTTAATCAGCCATTCATAAATCTCCAACTAATCCTATGAGTTTAAATAAATCACTTGCATTTATTTATATATCTATTTTCAGGTGTTTCTCCATTCATCCTGCGAATATTAGGAGGCCAACACCAGGCAGATTGAAACGACAAAATGCTCACAACTGATCACCAACAAATTGAGCACATCATTATATTGGTGTCACCAGAGTAAATGAAATGAGCACATCACTTACAGGAAGGCACATTGCTCATAACCCGTCGCCCATATTTATTTGTCTGTCCGGAAATAAGCTATATATCAACTCTATTTCCCCACGTGCATCCCAAACAGTTCAATTTTATTATATGTCTCTCTTCTTTCCCGAGCTATATATGCCCTGCAAAGATGGAAAAAATAACACTTTTTTTGTTTTTGGCCAACAAAAGCACCTTTTCTTATCAAATTACATAAATTTAATGTTCCTCACTTTTGTACCTGCTTAAAAATAGATTGCATATAGTTACAGAAGAGTTGTACTCCTCGAAGATGAGTTGCATTAGATTCCTCTGAGTAGTAAAATTTTTAAACCATTGCTGTCAACCAAATTTTCTTCTAAAAAAAAATTGATCAGCGCTTCTTACCGGATAATTCCCTCCGGCTGCAAGAAAATATGAGACAATGATTAACTGGGGAATTGCACTCAACAATTAAATTTAATCGTGTTCAATAGATCTTAAAAAATGGAAAACATTTGTATAATTGTAATAAAATTTAAGAACAATTATTATCCTTTACTCAAAAATTAATTCACCATATGATGTGTCTATATGTAACACACAAACACATACTTTATTTAATCCTAAATATAAGACTTGATTAATTGATTTTTTAGACATTTAAAAATTGTTTAAGTTGACTACTTGTTATTATTCTGTGACGGATGCGGGCTTGTTTTAAAATTTTGTTTTTAAACGATAAAAACTCTTTCAACTTATAAACCAACGCCTGTCGGTTAAGACCATGCTTTTTTTAATTTAGTCAGTAATATAAAGATATCATCCGGTGAATTAAGCAAGTTAACACACCATTTACTCATGCTAGTTAAAAACAAATATGTTGCTGTCTTATTTATTATTTATCCAGTTTTTTAATATAAGAGCTGCATAATTAATTTACAGATATTAAAACAATTAATTAAATTATTTATTTGTAATAAATATATATTAGTTTCATAGCTAAAATATAATTTCTAATCACACACATTGTCAAGCATAAATTTATATTATGAGACGAAATCAATTGATATATTATATTTGATTAGAATCAGAACTAACCTTTTATCTAGGAGGTAGTACGGTTTTTTTAAAAATTGAATTCTCCAGATTAAAACGAGTCTTCTGGTTAATTAAAAATGTTTTGGCCAAAAAAAAAGTTAATTAAAAATGTTCGCCACTAAAATCCAAGAAGAAATATCTCATCTTACCAAATTTTTGAAAAAAATTATTCGTAAGTGATAAAGAGGACAGACGGGACCTACATGGGACCCACATCTTAAAAAAATACGGAGGATGGGGTGGGAAGGTAGGCAATGACGTCAGATGCTAGGGGACAACCTTCAAGCCATGCGCAATTCCGCGGTCCTTCCTCCCTTCCCCTTTTAATTTTATATATATATATATATATATTCTTCCCAATTCTCACTTGTAACGGAATGTTTCTTTTCCATATCCCTCTCTTCTCTTTCCTTCTGCCTTCATCCTCTCAGCTTCTTCTTTTTAACTTGACTTATTCCTCTCATTTTTGTCTTCTTCTTCTTCATTGCACTTGTCCTAGTCTTCTTACGCAGGTGAGCCCATTTCTTCTTCTTAATTTGCATGCCACACTCCTAGCATCGCCAACTGCTAGCTTGGCACTCTTCTCTTCTGCTTACTGATTAATTTACGTATTCTTTTACATGTCTTTGCTCTCTTCCTCTCTCCTTTGCCACACTTGGCCTGCACAGCATCGTTCTCCTTTCCCCATCCCCAACACATAATGATATGAGCTTGATTTCTGTCGAATCCCATTTAAGAAGGGTTTTTCTTCAAAATTTAGAAATTCATTGCGGTGTTTTAGTTTGCACATTTCCTTCCGGAGAATAAATGCACATACACGTCTATTAAGTCATCCCCCAAAGTCCATTAAAGACATCAACATCAGAATGCATAGAATTATACGTCTAATTGACTGGAATTAATTAGTAGCAGCTGGACGGACAAGTCTTGCATATGAATCGTGTTAGCTTTATTCACCAGATCATATTATCTTCTTTTTCCAATAATTTGAACTGCGCAGGTCTCAGACTCACTTGTGTATGGAAATTCTACATGTCTTTTCCTTCGTCTCCTTGTTTATGCTTGTCCCCAGAACCTCCATTTTCTTTTCCTTATCGAATTCAATTCACCTAATTATATGGGTGTGTGGAAGACAAAAATGGAGAGAAACTGAAACTGGGAATATATGGAGCACTCCCATAAAAGTCGTGAATTTTGGGTATGAGCTTGATCTCATAGTCCATCAGGGAAAGAGGTCAGAAAACTGCCATTGAAATTCTCGACAAAGAGACAAAAGAGTCAGAGAGCCCCCCAAGACACACAGGCTGCCCAATGCCTCACTCTCATCTCAGCACTTGTGCGTGTCCCTTCTCCTTTTTCTCCTTTTTATTATCCTTTTTCCATGGCAGGCCTTCCTGCAATTGATCCCCCACTTTTTCTTTTGTCTTTCAACCAACGCGTGCCATTCTGTGATAACGTCACCACTCCTTCTCTTTCCTCATCTCTTCTTCCTATAACTCCAGTTTTATTTCTTTCATTCCCTTCTGATATTAACATTCCATTCTTTACTTTCTTTTCCTACTCGCAACAATTGTTATGGTCTACAAAAAACTGTTCTTGTTTTGTTTATCGTCTTTTGTCTCTGTCCTACTTCTTTTGTGGTTTCATTATTCACTTAACATGTGTAACTAATAATAATTTGGGGAATATTAATTGTTTATAGAATTGGAATGGGGAGTGAGAACCCCGTTCTTGATGAATCATTCCCACCATTCATGAACACAAGACAGCATCATTATAGCACAAGCCTCTAGTTTCCGTTTATAATTTCCTACAGTTTTCCTCCACGACACACTTAGGCTTAAACTAAACTCTGACCCGATCCTTCTCTCTCTCCTGGTTTTTTGAACAAAACCAAACTCTCATGATTTGGTTCTCTCTCCCTTTCCATCTCTCTCTAACTTTTAACCCCGGCAAAAATCATTGTTTCTGAAATTATGGGTTTTGTTTTATAACACGCGCTCATTTTTATTTCATTTGAGGAATTCAATTTGGTGAGTGTTGCTCACCACCAAATGAGTTTATCATTATCTCTGATAACACTCGTCACCTTTTCGCCAAAAGCCCCTATTTTTTTTCTTCATTTTTCTCTAATTTCCTTTTCTATTTTGCAACTTGATTGTGATGAGGGTTTCTATGCCTTTTTAAGAAAACTTTAGCACATGTTCTTTACTATCGGATCTCAAATTAATAAATATACGAGGGGATAAGTCTTATGAAAATTTTTAGTCACGTCTTTTCCAAAAAAATTTGATACAGTAAGAATATATAATAGTTTTTGCCTTTTTCGCTTTATGGAATTCACTTCACTGTTAACGTGGGTTCACCTGTGTGATGCCCACATAAGGGTTTTGGCTGTTTAGAATTTAAACATGATGATGAAAGTAGTCAAGTAAAGTGTAGGTGGAGGTTATATTAATGGAGGTGGTGAATTTGATGCAGTAGCAGTTTGGTACTTTGGGTATGATGGAACCGATGGAGTCATGTGTCCCACCGGGCTTTCGGTTCCACCCAACAGATGAAGAGCTTGTTGGTTATTATCTGAGGAAGAAAGTCGCCTCCCAGAAGATAGATCTTGACGTTATCAGAGAGATCGATCTATATCGCATTGAGCCATGGGATCTGCAAGGTACACACACCTCACTTCATCATTTGAATATACTTCAAACTAGATGGTGAAAGATTGGTCGAGTTAATTCATCTTATTTACTCATTAGGGTTTGCTTTTATACATATTATCCAGATCCCTTGTAGTTAGTACGCTGATTCTTTCTTCCCCTAATACATGGAGTTCAATTGTGGTGTGACAGACAGATGCAGGATCGGGTATGAGGAACAGAACGAATGGTATTTCTTCAGCCACAAAGATAAGAAGTATCCGACGGGGACGAGGACGAACAGAGCAACCGTGGCGGGGTTCTGGAAGGCGACTGGAAGAGATAAGGCAGTGTACGACAAGACCAAGCTCATCGGAATGAGGAAGACCCTTGTTTTCTACAAAGGAAGAGCCCCTAACGGACAGAAAACTGACTGGATCATGCATGAGTATAGGCTCGAATCTGATGAAAATGCACCCCCTCAGGCAAGTGCTACGTACATAAGCTCTTTCTATTAATATTTCGCTTTGATTTATTCTTTTTCTTTTTTGGTTTAAGTTCCTGTACATGAGTGGGTTGTGAAATGCTGATAACGTTATAAAAATTAAATCTCAGACTCTTGGCATATATACAGCTCTAGTTTTTGGTGAAGTACGTACAATAATAACTATTTTTGGAGGCGATGAATTATCTTGTATAGTTTTGTGTTAACACGTCCAACTAGTCTCGAGTGCTAGAAAATTATTGGCAGGACCTTACTGTTCCACTCGATGCAAATGCAGTTTGATAGGTCTCTTCAAAACTTACTTTTTTTTTTGGGCCAACTCTTCAAAGTTTACTTTAGAGCTTATGACAACAACTTTTTTCTTTATTCTTCATAGGCCACCAAGGTCTGAATATTCACCAAGGGTACGTACACCATGTTTTCTCACAGCATAACTTTCACCAACATTAAGTCAAAAGTCGTTTACTTTCAACTTTCAACATCAGAATAATTGGTTTGCTTTAGCTCCTTTCCATAATTTCTCTTTTGTAGACTTTCTTCCCATACGTAAACATCTATACAAGTAAATTAATCGTCATGTTGGCTTCCCTTTTTCGACAGTTATTAACGGATCTTTGACCTTTGTCAAGTGCTGTATCTCTCTCCACGTCGATTTGAAACATTTAGAACTTTAGTCCTTATTAAAGTGTTCTTAATTAAAAAAAAATTATATAAACTTAAAACGATGTTATCTTTCTTTTTTAAACTCTTATTAGTGGATTAATTTTTTGGGTGCTGCTTTTGACTACATCCTACTATTACTTCTCCTGGTCAAACATGATGAAAATCCTCGAGAGATAAGAATATGCCCAAGCATCAAAACAAACAAAAAATGAATTTTTTTTTCTTAACTTGGTTCTAATTATTGTGGCTGAGTATGTGCAGGAAGAAGGATGGGTGGTATGCAGAGCATTCAAAAAGAAAAACAATGGGCAAACGAAGACAATAGAAGGATGGGATTCAGGTTACTTTTATGAGGAGACAAGTGGAGTCGACTACGCATCAAGGCAGGCCCAGAGTTTCTTAGCTCCAAGTTTCCTGTGTAAGAAGGAGACAGAAGCAGATAATAACTTGAACTTCATGCACTCAGATCAGTTCGTACAGCTTCCTCAGCTAGAAAGTCCATCTCTGCCACTAATGAAGAGGCCAAGCTCAGCACTGGTGTCTTTCATATCACACAATAGTGACAACAATCATAACAAGAACGAAGAAGACGACCAGAACAGGCTGGTCAACAACAACGAAAACACGACCCAAAGGGTGACTGATTGGAGGGCTCTTGACAAATTTGTGGCTTCTCAATTGAGTCAAGATCAAGAGAGGCACGAGAGTAGTGATAATCATGGAATGTCAGGCTTTGAAACCCACGAGGCATTGCTCTTATTGCAGAGTAGTAGCGATGAAGGCAACAAGTTCAGCCCATTTTTAAATGGAAGCTCAGACTGTGACATTGGGATATGCGTGTTTGAGAAATGAACAATTAAAGAAGGGGAAGAGAAGGAGAGGTTCTTATTGGGACGCACGTAGTAACTATATAAAAATGTTAATTAATTTGATGTGAGTGCGTGAGACATATATTTTTGTGGAAATATTCTCCTTTGAATTGATGAGGTGCATGCCCCCAAGGCGACTCTAGAATCTAGATATAGTTTCTCATATTTAAATTGTATCGCAAAAGGAGCACTCTGGCAGAATATAGCATATAGGACTCTCTCATGCCTACGAGTTGAGATGCGATAATATGGCAGTAGAGAGAATAATCCATCGTGCTCTTCGAGTTATGCCATATCATCTGTACTGTTTCTGGGCACAAGAAGTAGCATGTGCTCTTTTCTTGATGTCGTGAAACTCTACTAAGTTGTTGTCTCCTTTATCATATTCCTAACATGATGAACGGTTTTTTATAGGGTTTACAATTTATATAAATGCCCTAAGTTTCTGTGTCATGCACATATATGCATTCATGCGTGTGAAGTACAGTACTAAACATAAGTATGATATGCAATAATTTTGTTGGAGGTTACTATATATACCATATTAAGGTGAATATTCGGAATGTCATTCATGGAGTTAAATAGATGGGTGAACGTACGCGTAACGGAAGCAGATAACGAACTCCCTTCTATATATTGATAGCCAAGATGGAGTATGATTCTTACAAGAGAGGATCAATACCATTTTTGTGGCCAAAACAAGGTATAAAAAATCTCTTGGAAAAAGATGTTTCTATCTAATTTATTTACGTAATTTTAGTGTTTAATTGAGAGCTTGAGACATCAAATTATGTAATTGGCGCTGTAACTAGTTTGATAGGCCAAAACATATATCATATCTAATTTGTAATTAGTAGCCTCTAATAAGTGCAAGTAATTATATAAAGTAATTTCACCCTCTTCGATCTACAACGAGACTACCTTAGTCAAATCCTCCCCAGTACATGCAACTGAGGATGAACGACAGGTGGTCAGAATAAGTAGCCACTGATACACGCGCATAACGTATTTTGAATTTTCTTTGAGAAGAAATTCCATTGCATGCCATGGTCAATAAGCATATAATATATATATGCTGCTCCCAACAACGCATGCAATAATTTATTTAATTATTTATCCCGGCAGCATTATCCCGTATTTGGGAGGGATGGACAGCCCCAGTTAATATAGGACAAGTGTCAACAGATTACTTTAAAATTTTTAAACATCTTGTTGCTAGTTGATTAATTCACCGGCATATTGATATTTAGAGCACAATTGAAACTATCTCGCAGTCATACTGATCTTTAGAATGACTTTAAGATAAATGATTGTGTGAGAAGTTTTGTGGCCTTTTGTCCCCATAAAGAACTAATAGTGAGTATTCAGTTAATCTTTTCAAACGTTAAAAATGGATAACTACTCATTATAAGATGAACATTATGAGCACTCAAGCCAAAGAATTAAGAGATCCTAAAAACGACCAATTCTCAGTTGACAAGGGTAAAACTATTATGAGAGTAAATGAACCGTGCATCTGGCAATAATATATTCCAAATTTTCACTCACAGAGAAGTTGTTGGAGAAGATTATAACAAGCAGTCAAAAACTAGTAGAGATAGAGATGCGAAGGATAAAAGGGGGTTGAAAAGGTGAAGAACTATTCTGATGATGTTGAAAAACTAAAGTGAATACAGCACCACTCACATATAGATAGGGCAGTACATGAATTAAAAGATAAGAGAGTCAATATTGTGCGATATGGTTGGTGGGTCCGTGGGCTGTCTGGCATGCGTCTTCGTGCACCTTGGCTTGTGCTGAGCATGCTTTGTCTTATGGTGCAAAAGTTGACCCCCCCTCCTCCGCACATTCTTTTAATCTGCTTCCTCCTTTTCTCTTCTCTTCTCTTTTTAGCTTCAAAAGCGCTTTTCTTTATCATCAATTAAGATTCTCCCTAGCTACGCCCTCCTCTACTACATATCGCTTCCCTTCAACACCTGCTCTCCAACCCACCTTTTCTCTTCGGCCGAGCTACTTATTGCAAAGTTCCCTAATAACACATTACACACACACACACACACACACACATCTCTGAAATATTGTCAAAAGAGTTAAGGATGATGCTGTTGAAATTTACCTACACATTTGTTTGGCTCCTCAATAATGCATGCTTGTGTCAAAGGGATTCTTTGATTCCAAAAAACAGACACATATGATCTCTTGTATATTTTTTGTTGTCTCTCTGTGATTACTAAGAGATTCATATACTCGTCGGAGGGCTTTGATACGTTGCTGCTAAGTGTGGACCTAATGGTCCAGTTAAAGCCCGATTTGCCTCATCAACCAGCTTATTCCAAGATTTACGAGCACTTTTATTTTTTAGTTTGCTTGCTGTGATTTGGGGGAAATATATTGTAAATTGTGACTTGAGTTGCTTTCTACTGAGTTCCATTTCAAGTAGATTCATCGTTTCTATGCATAATGCCAATGTGTTTAGCTGGTAGCTAGGTGGACCAAAAGGTCCACTAAGCATCCAGAGGGCCCCACAACGATCGGTTGCTCCAACATTTCTTTTGTATGACATGTCATGTACCTGCCGACTCATCAAAAGAGGCAAAAGTATTGTGGACGCACTATATATATATATATATATATATATATATATATATATTCTCCTTTTTAACTTGCACCTCTGCTTTTGTTTAACATTCGCAATGTGTTGATATAGGGATTGAGATCCTGTCAAATCAAATTACCATTACTATTGCTATTAAAAGTTCACCTTTTCGAAAGATCAGGTTTTTCTGTGTTCTTGCCTAGGAATACTCATTTTTGTAATTATAATAATCATATTTGGTTAAAGAAAAAAATTAAGTGAAAAATTAAGGGCAAACGTACATATAGTTTCACATCAGAAAGTTGAGCTTTTTGCAGCATCAGCTCACTGTCCAAATTTGGTGAAAGTGAAACTCTAGTCTAGACTCAAAACCTTCGTATTTTAATTTTGTATGAAATACATGCTCTTCCTACTCCCAAGATTAGGGTACGTACAATTATGGTCTGTTTGATTAGAAATGAGAAAGAAAAAGGAAATGAAAATGAGAAGCCTCTTTCACAACTATGAAGAAAACCTTTTATCTGAGAAGATCATTTTGCCATTCACTAAATAAAATAAAAATATTTGTCCTTGCCTAGTTCATATGGAAGAGATTTTCTTTTAATATAATGCCAGATTACGAATTCCTCAGCTCTTCTGTGTTGGTGGAAGTCCAAGATAGACCACGCAAGCCTGCATGCTTCGCGTGTGAAGTACAAGTAGGACACACAAAAAAAGTTTGGCATGGGTGCTTAACTTTGTGCATTCAGGGGTGATTTGTAATCGGCAGAATCATATTACCAAGTTAATAGACAGCTTTCAATTTCTAAAACAAGGTGTTATCTTCCTCCAAAAACTTAGGCTGGTTTAATTGTCACTGTCACTGTCTCAATATAGTCTCAAGCGACGACAGAAACATCAGCCGCCAATGATTTTGTACCATATTTATCGCTAACAATGATTGATTGCTACACTCTGATAGGCCTAATCTTGGTGTCGGTGCATTAGATTAGATCTCTATGCGTGAATGATTGCTTATCCGACTAATTGGACTTTTTCGCACACTAAAGTGCATGACATTTTTGTGTCCGACACGATGTGCCAAAAAGGGGCTCAAAATCAACATCGAAAGGGAGTGGGATATGCTATTGCTGGCACTTGCTGCAAAGCTATTCGTACGTAAAAATTCATATGGGGTTCATGTTATAATCAGAACATTAATTAAGGGCTCATCAACGCTGAAAAAGCCGTGTTAATTAACAAGGAGATGAATAACCAAATACTGGGCTCACGTGGCAGAGCCTAAGTGTTGCCTTTACAGCAACCATCTCTGTCAAAGGGCCCATGGGGTGTTCGACCAATCACGTTGGATCAAATCAGTGCAGTTGGAAAATTGAAGGCATGAAATGAACATGGCCGAGCAATTAGTGTAATGGTTGACACCAAAAAGTTCCCTTTGTGGATAACAACGATACCCACGGTGGCACGCACTATGCAATTTTGAACTTCATGAGCCCTCCCTCATGCAAATAAACATAATCTCTCTCTCTCTCTCACACACACACACAAGAGAAAGAAAGAAAGAAAGACAAAGAAAGCTTGACGAAATCTCGTTTAGAACCCGGAACTGGAAATAAGAAAGTGATGCATCCCAATTCATCTGCCTTACTATACAAGAAAATACGGTGCCAAACACGCTGAGTTTACTTTGTGTTCAATCACTACCCGAAGCGGTTTCGAGCAAACAAGCCAAAGATGACATTCCCCAAAAAGAATCCGTGACCATGAGAAAAATAACTGCAAGGGTCCTATGTTTTGACTTTGACCACCTCTTCCCGTGAACCGTGATACTTTTGCATAATGGGCTCTCTCCTGAGGAGAAGAAGCCCAACAGAACAAGCGGATTCTAGGCCCGACTTCCTTATCATTCCTTGCTCCGCGGCTCCCCTAGTGGGTCATCAGTTCACATCTCTCAATTTGATGTCATCATATGTCATAATACTTACGTGATAGCGTTAAATTTTACTCCATATGTTCTTCGGAGTAATAGTGACTTAAATAACACAAAAACCAACAGAACATACCCGGGGAGGGAAAAAAACAAAGAAAAGTAAAGCTAATCCATTATACCCTTTTTGTTTTTTTTTAAAAAAAGGTCAAAGTCAAATATAGAAAATCCGTTAATAAAGGGTAAACGATAGAAGGAGGCTTAATCCAATCCAGGCCAAATTACAGAAAGAAACGACTCGCTGGTCCCCTAATACTACCACCAATTCCACCGCGCAATAAGCTTCAGACATCCATACTGCAGAACCAGTAAAGCCCGTTAGATAGATCTTCTCTAATAATACATTCCGTTTTAAACCCCCCCAAAAACATGTCATTAAGTTATGGCCTCTCGTTTAATTTCAGAGAGAATGCTTCGTCACAAGGTCAGACCTTGCAGTAGATTATCTTTCAAAGAGGGTAATTTATTTCCGCAAGGAATAAAGGCCTAAGACCAAGGCTGTAGGCTTAATAAAGGACAATTACATTTCACCAATATAACACATCAAACCAGAAGCAGTAAGCAAATGAAGAAAACTAATTGAAGCACAAATGGCCAGTAACAAGATAGACAGACCAGCCCACAACTAGAAGCAGTAAGCAAATGAAGAAAACTAATTGGAGCACAAATGGCCAGTAACGAGATAGACAGACCAGCCCACCGAGCAACCAGCGAACCTACAAAATCATGCAGCTTAGGCATATGCCTGTCTTCTGCATCTCCCAATTACCAGTAACACCAATACCGCGAGAATAACATTAATAAAGGAAGAGATTATTAAGAATCAATTGTAAAACACACTTTGTTCATCACCGTTTCCCGCGACTAATACATGGCCAGTAGCCGGTACTCCAAAAAAGGTGCCATCTACCGGTAGTCCACCCATGACATGTCATTCGAAATGCAGAAAACTCGCACGCACTAGACACAATTTCACATCAAATCTCAATCCCAACAAAAGTAGCCAGCTGAAGCAAAACGGAAAACCAAGTAGAAGACCATCAACTCTACAGCCTTTTCACACAATCTCCCACCACTACATCCCAAAAGTAAACTTGCCGAAGGAACCAAGAAAGAATGTAACCCAAAAAAAAGATCCAGGAAAGGATGCATAAGTCCTCCCACACATTAACATACTGATACGTCAGAAAAATGTCTATAAATAGCTTAGATATTGCTAAGTAAGAACTCATGATCTCAGTCACAGATCTGAACAAAAGGACCACAGAAGCATAATTAAGTCTTTAAAGCAAAGAACTTGAGCTCTCTTTAGCCTAAAGCCCGTACTTCATAATGGTTTACTTCATGCCATCTCTAACAAGAGAACATCGAGATGCAAATCTAGAATATTGATGGTCAAAAAACAAAAACAACGGAAAAGAGGAATAAATGGTGCACAATGGAATTATAATACTTGGAAAACAGTTGGTGCAGACGATAATAGACAATACTACAATTTTATAATTGCCATGGCTTCGTTAAAACCAAGATTATAGGAGTTCACAATTCCACATCGAACAGACGTAAGTTACTGATGCAGGACACAATCCATGAACAGACACGGACAATGACTAAGCCCTTTCACCACGAATACGTCTAGCAAGCTGGATGTCCTTGGGCATAATGGTCACCCGCTTGGCATGAATAGCGCAGAGATTAGTATCCTCAAATAATCCAACAAGATAGGCCTCTGCAGCTTCCTGGAGAGCAAGAACAGCGTGGCTCTGGAACCTCAAATCAGTCTGGAGACCAGGGAAAGGAATAATCAGAGTTGCTCCCTTCAAATAACTGCCGTAAACGATAAAGTTGAGAGGAAAATAGATGTCAAAGAAGATTGATTACCTTGAAGTCTTGGGCAATTTCACGAACAAGACGTTGAAAGGGAAGCTTCCTAATCAAGAGCTCAGTGCTTTTCTGATACTTCCGAATCTCACTGATCCAAAGATTAAACAAATGACAAACAAATTTGATTCCAGCTGGAAGCAAACAAAGAAAAGGTCCAGAACATATTCAGCTTGGGTAAAATAATAACACATATTTACCGAAGTGCAACAGTTCCTGGGCGGTATCTATGGGGCTTCTTCACTCCACCTGTGGTGGGAGCAGACTTCCTTGCAGCCTGCATGACCAATAGGCAGAATATAATCTTAGACCTCATATACACTAGACATGGGCTGTATAATACCTAAAATATGTCTTCTTGAAAGCAAAAGTTTATGCAAATCAGATCCCAAGAACTCATTAGGGCCATAGAGGGCTCAGAGCTCAAAAGGTGCTGATAAGGATACTTATAAATTACCCAATAATAAGATTATTACATTCTTGAACTCACTTTCTTTTAAGGCATGGAATGCATCCTTACCAACAAAAGAATTCTGTTGGCAAATTACAATTTTTTTAGAATCAATTGCAAGTTTGCCGCAATTATCCACCTTTCATTGTATGGTCGTCTTAAACATCTTGTCATGTTCACAATGCTAAATAACACACATCACACAACTACAGTCAAAACTACCAAATCCACACAGATTATAATCAATATCTCCAACACAATGCATCTAACTTCAATTTGCAGGCCAATATATAATTTTCAGGCCAGTATATGTGTAATTTCAGCAACTATTTATGCCTTTACAGGGAAACAAAGAAAACTCTCGAACAATGTAGAAAATATCAAATCAAAACTAAGCTTCAAACGATGCCTCAAACAATGGGCTAAGAAATTTGAAATCTGAAAAACTTAAGTATTATAATTAAAAAATAAAGAAAGTGCATCAAAAAATAAATTAAAAAATAAAGAAAATAACAGAAAGAACATCAGATGGAAAGATGTTTTTCAGTTTCTTTCAAATATTATATGAGAAAAACTACTCAAAATATGAAAAGAATTAAAAGAGATACCCACGCAATAACTATGGTACATCAGGAAGAAGAAAAAAATTAAAAACCTGTAAAGATATACACTGCACGTATACATGAAATATTCCATGCAAGGAAAGGCTACACAGAGAAAAAAGAAATACCTTGGTGGCGAGCTGCTTCCGAGGAGCCTTCCCCCCGGTAGATTTGCGAGCGGTTTGCTTCGTACGAGCCATCTTGGTTTATGCGAGATGAAGCTAAAATTACAAATCAATTAAAGCAAGCAGAGGTACAGAGGAATATTGAAGGATAAAAGAAATACTGGAAAAGGAAGATTGAAGATATAAACTGATGATTACCAGGTTAGGGTTTTAAAATTCCTCAATGAAGCCCGGCTCAGCAGCAAGCTTCAGGCAAGAGAGAATTAAACGGACGCTTCCTCCTGCAGTCCTGCTGGTTCGTATATAATATACAAATATATATATATATATATATATATATCCTTTTTTAAAGTTTCAAATGCGGTTTATTTACTATATTTTAATAATAATTGATAATACTATTTTCTTTGTATTTGTAGATTACAAATAAAGTGTTAGGGAGTAGTATTTAGAAAGTAAATAATAATTTTTAAAAATATTTTTAAAGAATTTTTTTCAATATTTTTTAACTCATCAAGAGGCGGTTTTGATTTCTAAAATTGACCGACCTACTTAAGTGAAAATAAATGGAAATTTGTGAGATTACAGTTTAGCAAAACTTTCATAATTACTTTATTTTAATACTACCTCATATTAATAATAGAAAAATTAGTTAAAAATTGAATTTAATCATAAATATAAAACCTCAATTCATTTTGTCTTTTTTTTTTTTCAAAATATTCCTATTACTTGAGATCTCATAAGTGATTGTTTATATGACATGATTGAAAATAATAATTTCAACAGATCAACACATATTAATAACATATAATTAACTTAACTGATTTTTTTAATGTCTTTAAATATTAGCTTTTATATTAATTAAAGACCGGACGTAGTATTTCTCAAGAGACAAAATGTTTTACATTATTATCTCATATGGTATAAAATTGCTTAGAATAAACTAGTCCGCGTGTTTTCTAATCTAACAGCCTCAATTCTGTTGCTCTGAGGTTTTGACGGAGAAAGTCAAAGTTAGGTCCCAAAAACAAAGGAGAAGAAAAAAAATATAGAAAATCAAAGTAAAAGTCAATCTTTGTTTTACTTATATGTTGGGGAGAATTTTTTTTTTTTTTTACTCTTAAGTCATATCATTAATTAACTTACACGGATTATATAGGTTAGCTATTTGTAAAAAAATATTGGCAAAAAAAATATGTATTAGTTATCATAAAATACCGCTTCTTATAATAATTTATATTAGAGCATTGTCAACATAACTTACATAAAAATATAAAATAAAGGATAATTAGAAAAAATAAATATAAACAAATTAAGAGTTTACATTTACAGCCAAAACAAATATTTAAACTAAATCGTAAATTTAGGATACAAGTATCCTTAAACGAAGGCACAATGTTCATTCGCCAGTCACCGCGATTCTTAAATCCTTGGTCCGTTAGAGGATATTAGTCTAATTAATATTGTCTGCCGTGTATGGGGCCAAAAAAGTAATTCGGTAACTATATTCCTTAGGGCCCAACCCAGATCGAGAAAATATGGCCTCCTAGAGACTCAGATGTATCCATGAGACCATGAGCATAAAAATAAAAGTTAACAAAATGGCCCGTCCAACTCACACAAATTTTTTTATATAAAAAAAACAAGCAAATATTTCATGCAATAAAATCCAAAAAAAAAAACTCGCCCGTGTATTTTAACACGCCTGGAGGAAGCCGAAGAGGAGCCCCTGGGTACTGAAAAAAAGGGAGAATTATCACAAGATCTTATAAAAGGAATTTAATTATTAAAATTTTTTAATAAGAACTAAGTAGCATGAACCTGTTGTCATGCTTTATTTTAAAACTTGTTATTATATTCTTTTTAGTTGTTAATGAATTTTAGGTAATTAAATTCCTTCCTTACTTAGGATTTGATTGTAATTTTTCCAAAAAAATAATTTTCAAAAATGTTCATTTTAGCTAAAAATATTTCTTAAAAAAAAAATTCTGGGTGGGAGGATCCTCTTTGAAGTCGTGTCCGCCTAACAGATTGGCAGCTCTTGCCTTCTTCGAGACAAAATAAATGAATAAATAAATAAAACCACAAATAATACCAAAAACCGAAATTAGGGCCATGTAAATTCCGGATCTCTCTCATCCAATCTTCATAAGCACGGACTTCAGTACGCAAACCCGGTGAACTGATCGCCTATCAATTGGATGGGCTCCGGCTTAAACTACATGGCCCGATAAGAATTTCCCATACAATAGAACTCAACAGTGTTTTGATTAAAATTGTCTTTAATTTAATAGAAGAATAAATATAGTACTTGGCAAGAAAAAAAACATCTCAATATGTATAGTCTAATAAAAGATGTTAATTATCGCAACATCACAAACTAAAGTTTGAATCTTCACTTCACCCGAAAATGTGTCCATATAACAGTGTCTCGAATAGAATTACATCTAAGAATAAGATATTAGTAATATTTAGCAAAAAAAATATTCTTCCAGTTTTTAATAAAATATAAATTAATTTAATTAGATTAAAAAAATTAAATAAGTTAATTAATTATAAAATATATGACCTGTTTTTCTTAAAACATTATAACTATCTTTCTTAATATCCTTCCATCTATTTTAGTTAATTATATTCCATTAAATACTACTATAACTAATTTAAAATTTTTTTATAAATATAATAAATAATTTTTATATTTAGAATTAAAATCAAATCCGTAACAATACTACGGGCATAACATCCCTGTGATCCGGAAAAAAACACACTCAATTGGGCTAAACAGTTTGGTCTCCGAATCTTCCTTGAGTCAGTTCATTCAGCCTCGTACTTCTGGCTAAAAGAAAAGGCCGCTTCACGCTGCCCTCTTGCCCTCTTTTAGCCCTCCTCATGGCGCTCGCTCACTCCGACAATTTAGAAAATCGTTTTTCTACGCGCAAACAAGATGATCAGCCCCAACAATATGATCGGCAAAAAACTAACTCATCCAATTTTATAACTTAAAAAGTTGTAATTTTATACTATCTTTTCTCGTCTCTTTACTCGATAAACCATTTTTTTTGGTATAATGCACGTTTATGTTACCCCAGCTGATGATGTTCCTTCTACTACCTTGTTCGATATGTGATGAAGTCTAGACAGTTTGCCGTCTGAGCCAAGCTTGTGCAATCGTTCCACCACTTCGTTTTTGTTTTCGAATGTAAAGTGTAGCTCTCTTTCAATTTCAAGATCGATTTTTGTGAGAGAAAGGATGTAACTTTAGACTCACTAAATGTATGCAGTGGTTCCAATCCATGTAGATACTCTGGTCACCTAGGGTTTCTATGATTCACATTCTGTGAAATCATGCCATGTTGGTCACATGATTCCTAATTTCTATATAAACTTACTATTTATTGATTGACTACACCTGATACACATCCAACATCACACCGGCTCATTGCTAAAACTTAAGAAGGAAGTTCTATTTCAGGCTAGACCACAGCAGTTTCTCCTACCCTCCGCACAAAAAGCTTATTATATTCACAAATTTTACAGGGTCGCTCTACGCTAAAAGGCCTTGTTTCCATTCAGACTATAGCGACTTTCATGAAGCTGACGCAGTAACTTTTCTGGTCCTCTTGGATGAAGATCTTAGAGACTTAGGCTGCTTCGGCTTCGCAGACGTGGATGATTTCTTCATCTTCTGCACCCCAACCACTTTCCTCGCTCCCTTCCTAACCTTCTTACCTGTCTCTGTTTTCTTAGACGCGCTTCGCTTAGAGCGCTGAGCTGTGGCCGACCTTGTGACCCTCCGGGTGGTGTCCCTGCCCTTCTTAACAGACTCAGAGGATAGCTTGTAGGAAGCCTTGATCTTGATGAGCTTTCCTCTCGCAGCTTGGTTCTTCAGCTGAAGAGCCAAGATCTTCCTGAAATTCGCTGGGAGAACCGACTTATGCTTCTCCTCCATGTACTTGGCTATGGCGTAAGGGCTGGAGCCGCCCTTCTCGTTCAGAGCCAGTAAAGCTTCCTCAATCATCTGCAAAGACCACCCCCCCTTCCATAGTTAACCGGCATAGCTTAACACAGTTTTTTTTCCCCCCAAGAAAACACGAGAAAAATAAAGGAACAAAAATTTGAGAGAGAAACTATGGTGAATTTGCAGGTGAATAATAAATTAGAGAACCATCACTTTAAGGTACCTGAAAATATGGCGGATGAGAAACCGTTTTCGCCTGCTTGGGCTTCTTCTCCTTTGGAACCTTAGGCTTCTTCTCCTTGGTCACTGGCTTAGGCTCCTCTGCAGGCTGATCAACAGCAGCGCGATCACCTTCTTCGACGGACGACATAACGAAGAGACAGAATCAAAGAAGCAGAGAGAAAAAGACGGAATAGAAGTTTGGAAACCAAGTGCCCACGACCGCAGTGAACGTGACGTCGAGCATTATATAGGCAGGGAACAATCTGTGGGAGAGAGGAACGTAATTTGGGATTGGTGAATTTCACAGCAAAGGGATCGCCAGCGTGTTCAAAGATAACTCTAGAACGTACACGTGGTGCATATTGCATCGTCATTCAGAGGATATTAACTTGAGCGAGCAGATGTGAGTAAAGGATGAGGATTCCAGCGTGGCTTGGTTTTTCATGAGCCCAACACCATCAGGGCAACGAACAAGAGTGTGTTTCCTTACTCCCTTCATGATCCATTTTATTGTGATGTTCTTCAATTTCCCACCAGAAACATCTTTTGGGAATTGATGCCAACATAGCAATGATGACAATGCGGGTTGAATTAGGTAAATTGCTCGCCATTTGGGTGACAACCAAAACCACCTTCGCTTCAGCTATGGGCTTTGCGCGGTCATAGTGCGAGCCACGTCAAGATTCTGCACGGTTTTAAAACGATGACAACATAATTTCCACAAATCTGACTTTTTAGACCGAATGGAAATCACCCTAGATTAAAAAAAAAAAAAAGTAAATATCTTTGTTGCTTGAAAAATATAATCGCAAAACATATTCTAATGTTGGTCTCCAAAAAATAGGTGCGGGTATCGAAGGTGTTTGGAATCGTGGCAATTTTGGAGGACAAAGGGCTGATCTTCCTCTGCAAAATCAGGCAAATGAGAAATTCTTGGATCAGGTTTTCGAAAGCCTGCGCTAATCACTGACAATAACCTATTTTATCGTTCATAAGCATGGAGCATTTAGTGCGCAAAAACTAAACTAAAAAGATCGAAGGCCAGCAGGCTAGGAGGGGAAATCTCTCTCGTCAGCGAGGACAGTGTTCAAGCTTTTTATCAGTCTTTCTCTGCTAGTCTCAAGGCTTGTTTGTAGACAGAATGTAATAGAATTTAATGGATAATAAATTACGAATAGAATCCCCCCCCCCCCCCCCCCACCCCAAAAAAAGGCATTTGGTTTTGATGCCAATCGGAAAGGGAATACTCGCTCAAAAGATGGGATCGCCAATGTAACGCAATTAAGAGAGAGAGGGGGGGGGGGATAAGAATCCATCATCTCCAAGAAATGGTCTTCCCCTGCATAAGCCTGTTTGGTATGGACCTAGACTAGCCAAGGCCCAAAAGAACTTAAAGAAAATCTTGATCCAATAAAAGCGGGGAAGGACCCGAAATACAAAAGGATTTTATCCCCCTTTTATTACTATAAACGGGGAAAAATTAATAGATTATATGTAATTATACCTCTCCCTTACATAGGTTATAAAAATAAGCACTGTAACAAAAACTACGTTAAATTCACCAACTTGATTGTTGATGGTGATACTGGGGATTGGGAAGAGGGAATCTACGGTGTCAGTTGGGCAGAGCTCCCCTCAACTGCGAGATTTTCCCCCTTAATTATTCATGATAATATAAAAACCTGCTTCAACACAAATTTCAAGAAGTAAAAACCTCAAACTCCCCGTAGCACAGCTATTTCACGATAATAAGACCTCTCTCACTCCGAAAACCTAATCAGATGCCTAGAGTTGGGAATTAGGGACGGTCCGGTCCTTCAGGGCTAAAATTTTAAAAATACTCCAATTTATTAAGCCCGGCCCTTAAGTTACAGGGCCAGGGCCAGGACCGCCCCACGGACTTTTGGCCCGTTTAAGAAAAAATACTATTTTTTATATTTATCATATTTTTTTATAAAAATATAAAAATAAACCAATACAATTATTAATAAAAGACATAAATATGAATAAAATTAAATCACAGATATAAAATATCATCACATATAAATATTCATCAACATCTAAGAACATCTAAAACATTCATTAACAAGATAACAACATCTAAAAGTTTTATTTACAATGCAATTGTGCAATAAATAAACACTATCATTAATCTTTTGAAACATCATCATCACTATAATTAATTACTTTTCCTCATAAGTATGCTTTTCTTTTGTCACAAAAATATCAAGTTTTTCTTCTTTATAAGAATTTTATTTTTAAATTTTACAATCTAACTATTATTTTACTTTAATGTGAGAAACATTTTTATTGAAACTCATGAATGTCTAATTCAAATTATAGAATCACAAGTTATACAAGTATAAAAATATTCTATTATCAAATATATATATAATTTAAAAATATCAACGCATATAATATAAATCAAATCATTATTAAAGTCCAAATTAACCCATTTTTTAAAAATTTAATTGGATAAATTATTGTTAAAATTAAATTTAATTTTAAAATGATAATAATAACCACATATTTGAAATATTATCAACAATATAAAAAATCAATAACATTAATATTATATTAAAAAATTTAAAAAATTATAAAAGGGTTTAAAAGGGCCGACCCTTTTAAGCTCTCGGTCCTTCAGAGCTTATTTCTCATTTTAAGAAAAAAATATCAAGCTCGGCCCTTATAATTTCAGGGCCTAAACAGGCCGGCCCGACGGGCTCAACTCGTTTTCTCAGCTGTACAGATGCCTGGGCATTTTCATGCATACCAGACAGAGACACGCTCACAGTCTCTTGGTTTCCTCATTGGCCAGTTATACATGGATTTAACAAGAGGATTGACAGCTTAGTGGGAATTGACGAACCAACAGATAATACTAGCAGTGATGTTTTCACAACAGAATCTCTGGTCCATGCAATTAGCACAGCTTTGAATGCATCCCATTAGAGCCATAATCGCTGCATTTTTTTGTTCCAGTTCTAAACGCTGACAAAACATTTTAACAAATTATAATCATATTCTTCGCTTTACACATCACATACAACTCAGTTCCACACAAACCAACGACTTTCAGTTGAGTTAAGTTACACCTATCAATGTTGATTAAGGAATCGGTGAATGAAATTTATTCAATGAATGAATCAGCCAAACTTAACAGGAACCCATGTAAATCGATGGCATTCTAGAAATTAGTCTAGATGAGCATATATGATATGCTCTTCGTCTGTTACAGTTTGATGCGTTCCTGCGTTTCTATTACGTACATATCGCTATAGAAAAGGCTAGGGTGCTGGATGCCATACTGCCTGTCTCCGTACGTCAAGGCTCAAACAGAAACAAATAGAGTTGGGGTTAGGCTACCACATACAACTCTAGTCATCTCAAGTCAAAGACATAAATAAAATAAAACTTGCAGTTTTATGGATTCTACATATTCATCCTACCTGTTTTAGAGGTAAACCCCTCTTCACAATTCTCAGGACTCCAACTCAAACTGAGATAGTAGCACCGCTGGAGACTGGTTGGTTTTGGGATGATGCCAAATCGCCACAGAATCTGGGGTACTTGAAAACCATAGTAATCCACAAAATGACATATAACAGAAGATTAACAAAATGCAGCAATCATGAATTTCAAATCACCGTTTTATCATGGCTTGTGGTCAAGCAGAATTGTGACATTAAGACAGCCTAAAATACTAAGCGCATGATTAAAATCAAGTCAAGAAGGCAAGGGAAAAAAAGGGGGGATATTGTGATAATTCAATGAAATATGCCAATTGCTATGCCACAGATTTTAAACCAACCACCCTGCTGAACATAGAAAGCAAGAGAGGAAACATAACAGAGAGAGCAACTGCATATCACAGCATATTACTACCTCCTGTCTTTATTATAAGCTTCAAATAATTAATTCATGAATAATGAACAATTCATTAAAGTTAGTTAAAAGTAATAAATAGATTAGAAATATACTTTTATTTCCAAATATGCCCTTACAATAAATGAGAAAAAGGAAGAAAGAAAATGTATGGGGAAATGGGATAAGTGAGAATATAACAATTGAAAGAAAATAAATAATTAAGGGCAAAATTAAAAAAATGCATTGAAGCTTATAAAACAGATCACACCTATTTCCACATTTGAAGGGAGTACATCAGTATTCTTTGGGGGGGGGGGGAGGATTACCCTTTTACACCATGTCACATGTTTTGTCAAAAGACCAAGTCGTCTTTTCACTCCTTGTATCTCAGAAGCAAACAAGGATGCTAGTGCACGTAAATATTTGGACAACTATCAACTAACGAAAAGCTTCGTGCCCTCCACATTCAATAAATGACTTGAGGAAAATTAGTCATATTTTATTCGAAGTTTCTTTTCCGAGGCGGAGGAAACCTCAAAGCATCCTAGAACCAGTCATTAAGTATCCAAGAAACATGTAACAGTGCATATTACACCTAAACTTGTATGCTATCAATCAGAAGCCTAAGCAGCAGTTGCAACATTTAAAGATCATCTAAAGATGAAGATGGGATTTTGCCCCCATTTCTAGGACATTAGAGAAAGAATAAAGTAACCTGGTGATTAAATGTGCTAGATGGATAAATACATCTACATAAACTCCATTTGCTACAGGCTTCACAATAGCACTCCATAAACTGGCCAAGAACCGGCCAAGACAAGTTCTGGAAAGACTTTAAATGACACCGTACTTCATTCCAAAAAGTCCACAAAGATACTTCTCGTATAAAACGAAAGATGTTTTATTCTCAATTAGAAACTCAACACACTACACGTAAAACATATATCTCTTCAAGGATACCCAAATTCACAATAAGCATATTTCAGGACAGAAATCAATCTAATTGACTGCTTGTTCCATAAAAGATCCATGATTATTATTCCAAATGAAGATAGGAAACCTTTCACTGTATTTAGACCACATTCTCCCAGCTAATTCCTTGAATAAATAAGATTCCTTCCAATATGGCTCCTAACCGTGCAAGTGATTTGTAACTGAATTTAACTCTCCACAACCTTCCTGAACACCTCAAAAGCCTCAATATGCGTATTCATATATCAAACCTGCCCATCAATTTGTCAAAAGATAAATTTTCCACCTGAAAAATCTAGGCTTCCAGTTGTCCTAGCACCTTTTGATCATCAATGATAAGCTAGATCAGTCGCACGGATAGAGTACATTCAACAAAGCAACCCCAAATACAGTCCCTTATCTCTTCATGCCTAAGCAAGAGAAGGTCTAGCCCATTCTCAATACAAGAACATATTATATCTTACTCCAGGACCCAAATAAACAGCCTACCCTACACACTATACATTAAATAACCTAGGTCATAGCACCTGTTGATCTCAGACAAAAACAAACAGAAACTAAAAAGGTTTAATGGAGCAAGAGCAGGGTGAAGACAGAAAAAGAAATATTGAACTTCATAATTGCAGGCAGCAAACCACGAGCTCATAGATGGAGAAGGCCCTCTCATATGTCCCAGCTCACCTAAACATTGTTAAGGACGGATAAAACATTAGAAGAGAAATCAATGCTGCACATTAGAACATGAAATCCTATGGAATAATCTTTACCAAAAGATTCTTGAATCTAGTAGTGGTATCTTCGCCCATGTGAGTTTTCACCCCCATAAAAAGATGAATATGGACCCCCACCATACTGCAACATCAATAAAATAACTCATCAAAGAACTATGGTTTAACCATATGAATTATGAAGTAGGTTAGGCAGCATTCACTCACATCAGCACCATAATAATCATGTGGGTACTGTCCCCTGCCAGAAGCAATAGAATCTGCAAATAGAAGAGTCATCACCACACTGACCATATGTCGAAGAAGCAAAAATTTATAATTTTGGGGGGGGGGGGAGGTGAGAGTCAATACCATGGTAACGACTGCCATGAAATACAGCAGGATCTGTATAATCCAGTCGAGGACGAAGTCTAACGGGCCCCATGTAACTAGGATCTGGGTCCTGAAACATAAAGATAGAAGATTGAACCACTTTATATTCACGTATATGGAAAACAAATAAACGTGTGGATAAACAAGCAGGTTGAATTTTATTTAAAAATTGATCTCAATAGAACTATGTGGATATACAAGCAAATTAAAGTTGATTAAAAAAAAAAAATCTTACAGTCATATAAAATGGCCGTTTCACCCCATGCACACTGTCTTCATAAAAATATGGATCATCAATATGCCTTCCAATAAAAGGCCTGTCAAACTGTCCTTCAGGGGAGAATGGCGTCCTTGGGGGAATAGGTTCACCAGGGCCTCTCTCAGGGGTGCCATACCAGGCTCTGTCAAGATGAGGCCTAGATGGACCAGCAACTGCAGCACCTTGTGCACCTGCATAGTGTCCACCCCTCAAAGGAATCATCCGTTCCCCTGCTTTGCAATAAAATAATTTTGAAAATACTTGAATGATTAGTAATAGTAATTAAAAAAAAAAAAAAAACAGCAGCATTGACTTCAAATCAATACACAACGAGGCCATTTGAAAACCATGGACAAATATTCCTTTTCCATTGCACAAAGCCACAAACAGTGAGATAAGTGATATTTATTATACTCCTAATATCAATATTTCACAGCGATTGTCCTTTTCTATTCCATTTTCCTTCCCATTTCGAAATGGCCCCTAACATTAAAAAAGTAACACAACAGCCACAATGATGACAACCAAGAACAGGAAAAATGATTCTTTATACCAAGTTGCCTCTGATGAAAATCTGGATAAGCATTATTCAGATTAAGATCATTACTGAAACCCATTCTTCCAATTTGACCATATCCTCCATGATAAAAATTCCGATCCCTATTAAAATTTCCCCAGTTGACAGCATGTCCTCCACGAGCAAAACCCCTCCCTATTGCAGTTGCCATTAAACAAATGAGAACAAAGGGCAAAGGTGATCACAGTTTCCAATTAACAGGAATGACAAAACTTACCAGATCGTGGAAAAGCTCCACCCCGAGCATGACCAATTCGGAACCCACCACACATGCCTCCCTTGACAGCCTGTGTTTTAGGCAGAGGATTTGAAAGTCTAGCTCTCACTTTTATCTGACAAAAGTTGAAAATCATGAGCGCTCTTATTATCAAACTAAATGTAGCCTTCAAGCAAAAAAGGCAACGAACCCTTAAGCCCTCTTGTTCACCTCACTTGAAAGCCTAGTTCAAAGTGTCAGTTGGGTCTATACAAAATGACACTCAAGCAACTAATAAACCAAAGGCAATAAAAATTAAGCTTGAAATAGCAAGAAGGCAATAAAGAGAGAGGAACGGTGCTCAATCAATCAAGAGGGACCTCCCTTCATATTTTCTATTTCTTAAGAATGACGAATTTATATATTTATATAAAAATTTCACCAAAAAAAAGAGTCACCCTATCCACAAGCCATGAACAATATAGTTATCCATAGGCTTTATGCAAAACACGACTTACATTCTACTGTGAGTTATAGCACTCAAAAATTACCTGACCTAAGGAAAACTATCAACATAGTGCACGAAGCAAAGAAGAAACTGTGATATAATAATGAAAAATAATATGCAACCACACATCTAGATGATATACCTTTTCTTTTCCATCAACAAATTCTGAACTATTCACACCATCAACACAAGCTACAGCGGCTTCATGTGTAGAGAAATCAACAAATCCAAAGTCTTTCCTCTTAGCAGTAGTCATATTCCGGGCAAGCACAATTCGTACAATTTCACCATAACCTTTAAGGTGCTCCCTAATGCAGCCCTCGTCCCAGTGAGGAGGAAGACCATCAACGAAGACAGACTTCACCTGTGCCATGATCTCTGGATCCAGCTCTCGAGCAGGTTCAGCGAAGGCAACTTTGACAGTTCGATCAGCATGTCCAAAGACTACATCAGGCTTTTGAAGCCTCTTATAGGCAAGCATGGCATCATGATGACAGGAGAACTCAAGAAATGCAAAGCCCCGGCTTAATCCTTCACGGTGAACATCTGGGACGAGTGTAATGTTTTCAACACCCTCAACACCATAATCCTTCAACTTCTGTTTGATCTGGCATGCATATCTTACAGAGAATCGGTAAACAAGCCACAAAAATTAACGTATTCAAAAGAACAAACTGCTATCCACTTACCGCTTCTTTTGTCCATGTATTGCATATATTTCCTAAGAATAATGTGTCATTATCCTCACTGGGTGCAATGCCACATCGCTTACCACATATCTGAAGAACAATGACAGGTTAGAGACAAAGCACAAAAAAGGAAGAGAAGAAAAAGTGGGAAGACAAAGGAATTATTAAAAAGAAAGTGATAAACATACAATAGGACTTTTGATTTCTGACAAAGCTTTCTTTGCATGCTCCTTGCAAGAAAATTTTACAAATGCATAGCCCTTATTTTTGTTTGTTGAAGAATCTTTATGCAACCTGACTTCAACTATCTCCCCAATCTTCTCAAAAACCTTTTTAAGATCTTCCTCTGTAGCATCACGATCAAGCCCACCAACAAATATTTCATTCTCTTTCTTAATCTTGCGCTCCTTCGCCATAGTTGACAATTCCTTGCGTTCCTCATCCAATGTCTCAGCTTCTTCAAGAGGCTCCCCTCGATCAGCCTCAAGCTCCTTCCCCCCTTGTTCTTCACGATTCAGCCTTTCCTCAGAACCCTTGCCACCTTGATCACCACTTGGGTTCTCCTTTCCAGGTTTAACATCATCTTGCAGAAATTGGTTTGTCATTTCCTTCTCAACAGAATCAGTATTAGATTCCTGGTTATGTATAATATTACTTGTCTCCTCTTGCATGGATTTCTCTAATGCCCCTTCTCCCTCCTTTTCCATTGATTTTTCTGATTCTTTTTCTCCATCCTCTTCCTTCACTTGCTCTCTTTGGTCTTTTATTTCCATGCTGACAGAATCAGAATCACATAGCTCTTTAATTCCACTACAAGTTGTCTGTTCATTCATTGATTTTTCTGATGCTTTTTCCCCATCCTCTTCATTTGTTTGTTCTCCTTCTTTTGCACTAGTGGGTTCTTCATTCTCCAGAGATTCAGAGTGCTCCATCATGGTAGGTTCTTCTTGATTCAATAAAAAAGGGACACCTTGGGAGGCAGATACAACGTCTTCAACTATGTCTCTTCTCTTTTCTTCTAACTCACAAGCACTATCAGCATTACACTCATCCCCTACTTTGGGATGTTGTTCATTCCCTGCAGATTGTCTAACAAACTCAACACCTTGTTCGTCCACTTCCTTATTTTCAATTTCATCTGCTTTGACTACATTAACATTTAAAGGCTCCTCCAATTTCTCAGCTACTTCAACATCATCCATTTTCGGTGTTTCATCAGTTATTGCCTCCACTTGTTCTTCTTGTTCCCGGGTAGTAATGGCTTTAGTTGAATTCCTAGGCCTTCCCACTGCTCTCTTTGGCGTCCTCTTTGGTGCTGACTTTGCAACTGTAACAACTTTTGTCTCTGGTGTCACCTGAGAAGCATCAGCCTCTGCTTTTGCCTCATCTGTCAAATGTTGAGGGAATAAAATAAAAATCAACAAATTTCAACAATACATAGAAATCGGATTTTACACTGATAAATTAAAGAATGAAAACTAGGTAAGATAAAAAGACTTCGGGAAAAAAACACTTTAATTGTTGTTTGAAGAGTGATGGCCATACTGACTTATCATACAGATGGGGTAAATCGGTTCTCCAATATTATGCCCCTGTTATGTCATATGAATATCCCAAAAATGAAGAACGCGGGAAAGAGTGTGGACAACTTGAATAGTAATAACGTCGAAAAATTTGCTAAAAGTGAATACTTACAATCCAAATAAATACTGATAAACCAGTAACATGTAATCTTCCAACTCGAAGCACAGAATCGGCAGACACGCAAATTACACTCCTTATATTTGACTAAGTCTGAATAATTTTGCGGCTTTTCATTTCATAACGATAACTCTAACTCACAAATAACTTTGAGAATTCACACACATAAAAAAATTGTCAACAAAATATTGGGGGAAGAAAAGTTTTACCAGATAATAGCTCCGGTTCCTCATCAACGCTTGTGTTTTGTAAGGGCGAGGCCTCGTTCTTCTTGGCCTGCCTAGTTTTGATCGTAGAGGTGCGCTTGGTCTGAGGGGATTGTGCGTTCGCCGGGCTTTTAGATGCGGATTTCCTCGTCGGCGGTGTCTTCTTAGCCGCCGCTGTTTTAGAAGAACCAGCGTTCCTAGTTCGCATGATGACTCGTCGCTATAGAAGCAGGGGAAATTATGCCCAGCGCGAAGGCGGTGATTTGCTGATTTCAGATGGTGAGGCTCCGGAATCCCAATATTTTCTGCCGGGAAGTACAATGATGGATTGATTGGATTCTCAGCTGCTGATGAACACTGTTACCTCTAATAATGCCCCAAATATATCCACGCACAAGTACGTCTTTGCATTTAAGCGAGATTATGCATCGCCGAGATTAGACAGAGGTGAAAATCCTTTCTAAACATGTTTTACGGGAGTGTTTGGATAGAAATCAAATCATAGTTTCAGAAGTACTTTTACGGATTACGAAATAAATATGTGGAGGAGGTTATTTCGTTTTGTGAAAAAATGATTCTGAAACCTTAGTTTTGGTTTTGCCAAACACCTCCTACGTCAGAGTTGAGATAAAACTATTATTCGTATTGCACAAATTATTGTTAAAAAGTATTATCTCCCATTTTAATTATAAGAGCCAGTTAACTAATTTAAAGAGATTAAGAAAGTAAGTTGAGTTAGTTATTTATCTTAAATATGTGTTGTCTTTCCTAAAATATCCTTGCTAATCAATTATATTGACTAGAACTATCATTGTTAGAAGGGTTACTTTAGAAAAAAAATTGTATGAATATGAGATAGAAAGTCGATTGAAATCTTATATTTAAGACTAAAATAAAAATCAAATATGATCTTATATTTAGAACTGGAAGTAGTAGTTTATAAATAACTTATAAACTGGTCCGATAGCAGGTAAAAAATAAAATGGTAAAAATAGTTCGGCCGAAAAAAGAGTAACAGTAGGTGTAGGCGGAGAATTGACGCTAGCTGTATTAGATTTATTTTATATATTTAATAGTTTTTAATTAATTTTATTAATATTTTTTTACTAATAAGAAGAGGAAAGGAGAAAATTAAAAAAATAATTAAAATGTTTTAAAAATATTTTTAATTTATTTAAATTAGTTAATGAGACTTACGAGTATTTATCTTTCATTAATTCTTTCAGCAAAAAAGAACTATCTTTCATTAATTTTCATTAAATTAATTATTTAATTTAATATTTACAATTAAATCTCTCGTTTTTTTTTTTTTTGGAAAAGATAACAATTTCTCCCTCGATGACACCTTGGAACATCGATATGCTCCCATTCGCCATTCAGGTATTCTGTTGAAGCAGTTAGCAGCCGCGCTTCCGATGACGAAGTGAAAGTGGAACCCGCAGAAGAGGGCATGAGCATATCCTCATAGTGCACCCCCATATCTCATCCCCTTATTACCCGATATCAGTGAGAGGCAGGCTCTGATTTCGACTTCCACTCCTATAAGTATTGGTTATGGGCGCTTCAGAATCTACCTTCTCAGGCTCCCAGGTTGAACTGTTTCAAGCCCACCATTTCACTATGATTTTGGATTTCAAGATTCTATTTCTGCTTAAGTTGTTAATTGCTCGCTTGTTTTCTTCCCTTTCCTGTATTCGCTCTCTCAATTTATAATGGTTGCAGCAGAGGGCAGATGACAAAATCACTACCGTATCAGAGCGATCGGAGGCCGCGGACCCCATTTTGGAGAAGCTCAAGTCGCTCAAAATTGTAAATTCTAATTTCGTTCTTTTTCTTTCTCTGTTTTATCGAGAAAATGAATATTCATTCTCTAGAGGGCTCATGCTTGGTTATATTTCTAGGTAAGATTTCAACTTGCGGATTCCTGACTCTTACTTTCGCTTCTTGTGTTGAGTTGCAGACATCCCCCATATTGACGTCTGCCCCGGCAGAGAGTAGCTTAACTGATATTTTACTGAGGAAGCCTTCGTCATCGTCGGTTCCAGGCAGGTCCTCATAGCTCAACTGCTCAAGGCTCCCCCCCCCCCACCCCAAAACACACACACACACACACAAAACCGGCTTCAAAAACCAAAAAAGAATAAATAGATAAAAAGATCGTATTTGCAATGGAGTGCTTATTGCTAGAACTCATGGCCTTATTGGGTGCTCATCCTGGGTCAGGCTTGTGTAAATTGGACGCAAATTCTTGCCAAGATAATTAGCAAAGATGTTCAAAGATTAATATGCGCCCTGGGAGATGAGTGTTAATTGCTATAGCTGGATTCTTGGTACACGGAGGATGCTTATCTTTTGTATCTTCTTGTACAGTTTGTTTTTCTTGTGATTAACGAAATATGCTTTGCCTTTTACATTCTCTGGTACCATTGGTTTTAGTTCAAATTAATTTAGTTGTGAATTACCCACTTCATACATTTGTTAATCTTCTGACTTCTTAGAGTTCCTTAATAGTTGCATGAGCCCGGAAATTGATACAAGAGTAGAAGACACAAGCTTTAAATTATACTGATAACAAATTTAGGAAAGATACTTTACTGTCTTGGCAATTCCCCTATCATATTTCGGAAGTAGGAAAAGAAAGCATGGATTTGTCATGTTACATCCAGACATTGAAGTTTGCGGGGATTGCTTGTCCTTTACTTTTAAATGTGAAAGAGGATTAACGCACTCTAAGTTAGGGAACGAAGATGACATCACAGGCTTTAAACTTGTCTGGTTATTCCCACTCACTGAAGGCCAGAAGACATCTATAACTCCTCTGCGGACAGATAAACTTTTGTTTGGTGTTATTACCATGTATTAATGTAATAGGTTCCTTTTCTATTTTTCTTATCTGCCTAATATTGTTTACTTCAGTTTCAAAAGCATTCTATTTCACACACTTCAGGTTTTCCAGCCACATCTATTACCCTACAGATTGATGTCGGCACCTTCTGCTATCTGATACTATTACCATTAACTGTTCAATTGAGACAAATCTTAATTGCTTGCATTTCCGGGTTGAAACAGCTATTGTAAATCCGAAGATCCTACTGGATCTCTTCTCAATGTACCGTGATTGGCAGGAAGACAAAGCTCAAAAGATAAGCAAAAGACAGGTCTGTCGATCACAATAGTTTGGCAGATTCAATTAGTTTTGGATTCAATTTCTTACCAAACATCCTTCCCAAAAGCTAAAAAGAAGATCATAAAGGAAAAGAATTAAATATTTTTATCTAGATTTGAAATTTACCTGATGTTTAATATGGATTTTTGTTTAAAATAGTTTCACCACAACGAATAAAAAATAGTACTTCATGACAAGCAATGAAAGGAAATTATATTTGATAACTGACTGTTTTATCGTAATACATTGTGTTTCTTTTTTCTTTCTATTTTTTGAGTATCATATGGTAATTGGTAATGCATAATTGCATACATATTTTCCCATACATTGCATGGGGTTTAAGATATATGAATGATATGGCTTGCTGTAGATATTTGCGTTTTGTGTTGATATTGATTATTGGAATGATGACGCTAAGGAGAACAATGAATGAAATTATCAGTGGCTGGTAAAGTATTTCTAGACCTCAAATTTACTCTCTAGACCGTTCTCTTATTGAATAGTGCAGGCTTAACATCTATGACGTTAATAGTCCTACCTGGCTTTTCTGTGTGCATAAATATAGAGTTCAGCTTTAGTAGAATTCTTATACAACGCCAACTGGCCTAATTCGCCCTTCACTTCGTGCTGAACCTGAAATTGTTTATCTTTCTAATCATTTTAATATGTAAACATTGTTTATGAGTGTTAGTTAGAAAGATTTATCAATCATCAATTCAATTTCTTTGGCCCAAGGTCCTGAATCTTGGAATTTCAATCAGAGAATCCCTTGAATTTTAGTTTACTTGCAAGTAACTCCTTCAACTTTTGAAGCTAATCTCCCTCCCTCCCTCTCTTCCTTCCCAATCAAACTCTTTAAACCCCAAGAAATAGGTCATTTTGTCTATTTTCCCCTTAGTGACGCAAATCTTAAACACCGTGTCAATTTTCCTGTATTTAGCGTGTTGGCATTAGGGATAAATGGGAACTAGCCTATTAACTTTGGAGAAGTCCGACTTGGCATTTGAGTTACTACTGTTTAGAGAAAGAAATCCAGTTTTAAAACTTGAGGGACCGATTTTCTTGTTTTGAATGCAAGGGAGGCCTTTTGAATCATCACCAACAATAAACTAATCAGTTATATAGTATGATTAGTGCATTTTGGTAGCCATGCTATTTGGAAAGTTTAAGAAGTTATGTCAGAACCAGAAATTCTTATCTTGGATTGAGGCTCCAATAATTTTTATGCTGATGTTAATGTTTTTTAACCACTCGTTACCCGCTGTCATTGTTTGTATCAATTGGAAGACATTATTATCACGTTGGAAAAATTGGCATGTAAATGCTATGACACCGTCTCATGCAAGCCAGCAAGACTAATGAAGATTCTTGCAGGAGGAGATAGAAAATAAAATAGAAGTTGCAGATGCTTTGGCAGTTAAACTTCTTCAGCGATTTAACCACTCAGTATCTACAATGAAGACCGCTTCACAACACCTATCTGAAGGTAATTGATCAATCAACATCTAGTATTATGGAGAATACTGGGCTGCATGACATCAAAGTAACACATTATGCTTCAGAATCCATTGAATGAAAAGAAAAACTGCCGCTCAATTATGTTTTTCATGGAGCTTTTGGTAGCCGACTCATATAAAATTAGATTCATCTGCATTTCCGTCATAATGTTTACATGTGCTGGTTGCACTGATTAATTGGCCAGTCTACCCTTTGCCTGACACTGCTGGTCTTTTACCATTGCGTGTCAAAATCTTTGAACTTCCTTCACAACATTCATGCTCGTATGAGTTGAAGAATCGCACTGAATGGCAAAATCTTAAACTCATCTGCGTGTCTGTTATAGTATACTGTTTACACGGTATGGGTGAAGAACTAATTAACTGTGACTGACATTATATGAGTTCTGCTTACCACTGCAAGCGAAGAGATTATAACTTTTGTATTGGAACTCGTGTGCAGTACATGCATTGCAGGTGGAAATTGGAGAGCTTAAAGGACGGTTGACTGAAGTTATCAGTAATTGTGATGCTCTGTGCAAAAGAATTACAGCAGAAGGCCCAGAATCTCTCAGATCATCTATTAAGCCTTTTACAATTACTAAAACTGACCAAGAAATCTTATCCAACTCACCTAATTTGCAGACAGGTTTGATTAGAAATCCACCTTCAGAAGAATAGTTTGACTGCCGCGTTTGCTTCCTGTATACGTCAGAGGATTTCCACGTTCTTGTTGAACTTGGGGTTTCCCTTCCATATCTGACTTGAATGGTTGGATAAGATGTTTGGCTAAATTGCTAAAAGCCTTGTTTTGGATGAACGGCATGAAATTTGCTATTAGTTTAGAACTTGAGATACAAGTCCGTGGCACGCTCGATCCATGTTGCCATGCTTCTGCATAAGGGAGCTTTGCTGCCGCACCGACTCCTTATTTGTTGTGTAAGTACAAAACGGCAAGAGACCATGTCGCCTTTTGATTCGACATGTCACATGTAACCAGATGTAGAGTGATTATTTCATATTGCAGATTTCTTTTTCCCAGCTAGATCATAATTTAGTTTACCAACATTTCATTTGCAAGAGTGATAGAAAATTTTAGTAATTTTCCTTGAAGTTCGGTTAAATGATATCGAATCATTTGTTTTTTAAACACGAGTTAAAGGGCATTTTTGCCCTTCAACTATTCACAAAGTTGCATCTGGTTTCCGAAACTCTTATGTGGAGTAATATTCCCCTTAAAATAATTAAAATCATCCTCTTAATTTATCTTGCCTAATTTTTATTTTTTTCCTTTTTCGATGACACATGTGAGGGTAATATTGCTTCACACAACAGTTTAGAATATCAAACGCCCCTCCGCCAACGGTTGAATGATAAAAATGTCCTCTAACTTTTTAAACAATTATGTCTGACTTTTCTTATTCAATGTTCTGTCACTAAGATTGATATATTGCAATATATCTTTCTTTTAACGATAAAATTAATTAGATTTTTTCTATGCTATGAAAAAAGAATTATTAACATGTAAGTTCAATTAATTTGTCCCCTTTATCCTTATATTTAGAATAAAATTATAGGTAATTGTTGTTCAAGAATTTTATTTTTTTGGTGTACAGAAAATTAAAGATAATTTGAACAACGTATAATAAAATATTGAGACAGCTGAATGTTCGTTAAAAATTAAATAAAATTAAATTTAATATGGAAAAAATTTTGCATCATGCACTTTGTAAGAGTGGGGGAAAAACTCAGCACCTTTTATCCTACACAAACGGAATTGAGCGCACTCAAAAAAGTACAGAAACGGAATTGAGGAAATAAAACATAAAAAACCAAATTATGTCATAGTTTCTTTTATTAAGTGACATGTATGTATTTATCATCATTATACGTGCATGTCTTATTATCCTTTTATTACATTTTTGACATGGATATAAGCATTGTTTTCATTCCCCATCCTTCGTCATTCATTTTCTTTTTTATATATACATAGTTAATAAATTTGCTTGACACATATTCATATTTTCTAAAACTTGAATCTTTTATACCAATCAATTCAGGGTGCTCAATTCCCATACTAATCAATTGATGGTTCCCAATTTTCAGCACAAAGTGATAGTGCTTGTGATGATCTGCGAGCAATCTGGTTGCTTCGATTGTTGCATGAATTGATGAGGATGACGGCTAAGCTGCGGATATACGGGACCTGAACCAACTTGCCTTTCCTGTGAGTTGTGACCGGGGCCACGCCAATATTCCTGCTCTGACATTTGAGGTTGCTGTTATCATATTTTTACTTCCATCCTCCACAAGTAAAAGCATTTTCTTATCGCTCACGAAGATTAAATTTAATGTGTGTGTGTGTGTACATGGTTGAAAAGGCACTGTTCCTGAGAGAAGATGGAGAACACACTAGCGATCAAGAAGCAATTGAAGAAAAGTAAACAAAACAACAAAGAGCTAATTTCTTTTTCTTGCGATAACGGATGAACTGACATTGAGAAAATGGGATTATAATTTGGATAATCCATACTGTGAGAGGAAGTTGAACAAAAGAAAATCACTCAGCCGATCAAACTGTCATCTATGGTAAATCATTCAAAGAACTGCATTGTATATCTTAAAAAGTCTAAAACCTATCATAGGCTGAACTTCTAAGAAGCATTTTGTCTAAAACCATATGAGAAAAGGTTGAATTCCCATTACTACAGATCAAGGTTGCTGCTGAGCATCCAAGTAACCAGCATCAACAAGCACCTTCTCCCTCTTGGCCAATTCAATGTCCTCGTCCACCATCATCTTTACCAATTGCTCAAATCCCACCCGAGGCTTCCACCCAAGCACTTTCCTAGCTTTGCTTGAGTCTCCCTTGAGATTGTCAACCTCCGCAGGCCTGAAGTACCTCTTGTCAATCTCCACATGATCCCTCCAATTCAAACTCACGTAGCCAAATGCAACCTCCAAGAACTCCTCCACCGTGTGGGATTCCTCCGTGGCCACAACGTAATCGTCCGCCTTATCCTGCTGCAGCATCATCCACATAGCCTCCACATAATCCCCAGCAAAGCCCCAATCCCTCGAAGCCTGCAAATTCCCTAAGAACAATTTGCGCTGCAAGCCTATCTTGATCCGACCCACAGCACGCGTGATCTTCCGGGTCACGAAATTCTCACCTCGCCTCGGCGATTCGTGGTTGAAGAGTATCCCATTGCAGGCAAAAAGCCCATAAGCCTCGCGATAATTGACGGTGTACCAATGCGCGGCGCATTTCGACGCTGCATAAGGAGACCGAGGATGAAATGGGGAAGTCTCCGACTGCGGAGGTGGGGTGGAACCGAACATTTCGGATGATCCGGCCTGGTAATAGCGAATATGGCTACGACCGGTGGCGGCGATGTGAGATCGAACAGCCTCCAAGAGTCGGAGCGCACCAGTGGCGACAACATCGGCGGTGTAATCGGGGATCTCGAAGGAAACGGCGACATGCGACTGGGCAGCGAGATTGTAAACCTCGTCGGGGAGGATTGTGTCGAGCCATCGACGGAGGGAAGAGGCATCTGTGAGATCGGCATAATGAAGCTTCATTCGTGCCTTGTGGGTGTTGTGGGGATCGATGTAGATGTGATTGATTCGTTGGGTGTTGAAGTTAGAGGATCGGCGAATAAGGCCATGGACTTCGTAGCCTTTGTTGAGGAGGAATTCAGTGAGGTAGGAACCATCTTGACCGGTGATGCCGGTGATCAATGCTACCTTGCGCGGAGGAGAAACGTCGCCATTAGCGGCTGCGGGAGAAGATCCAGATCCACATCCAGCGGACTTGTTCTGGGACGCCATGAGAGTTGCGACAGTTTTGAATTGGCGCGTCGACGGCTCAAAGCAGCGGCAGAGGCCGAGAAAATGAAGGTCACAATGAATTGATGAGGAGAGACCGAAAGGATCGAATTAATATAACGAGTGAGGAACGGCGACGTCACGCGCTTTTATGATTTCGTGGGCTTCGCTGGTAAATTAAAAAACAAAAAAAATCCAACGCCGTTGATGACATTAAAATTTTCTTATTTAAAAATTATAAACTTGAAAAATTAAAAGAAATAAAAACCTATACTCTTTTAATTTTATTTATAGGTTCTTTTAATATGTTTCACACAAATAAAAAAATTTTAAATTTTATTAACTTTCATTTAAAATTCAACAGTTTTCTAATTTTATATCTATTTAATATATATTATTTCACATATAAACAAAGTTAACACAATAATAAATGAAAAATAAAATTATATATCTATATAAAAAATTTCTCTAAATATCATATAAATAAGATCAAAAAATATATTCTCTCTACCCTATAAATAAGATCAGAGAAGTGTTTTTTTAAGACTGACAGTAAAAAAAATGTTTTTACGCGAACTTCCCTTGAAAAATAACATATGGATGATTGCTTGATTGGTGGTCCATTAAAACTTGTTAAAATCTACTCCTCTATATGTGAATAGATTAAAAATATTAGTTAAATTAATTAATATGAATTTTTTAAAATATTCCAGTAATCTTACCTAATTTACTTTTTCTCTCTTCTACTTAATGATTATTGAGAATATTAATATGATTAATTTTAAAAAATTAATAAATACATAAAATAAATTTTATACTGTTCTAAATATAAGACCCTTATACGTGTATAAGGGTCTTATATTTGAGACTGGAAAAGTATATAACTAACATTAATTCAAAAACTGAAAGAGTATTATACTACTTCTAATTTTAATTATAGAATTTTATTATTAGAACCAGAAGTGGTATAAAAAGGATAAAATAAAAGAATGGCATTGGCAAAAATTTTGTCCCGATCTACGTAGTAATGGAATTCGCCTGAGAGGTCGACTGGAAGCTGACGGGAGTGTCGGTGCGTGACTACCTCCCCCTTGCGGAAATAGATCTGTTTGCAGTGACGAGGGAGCTAAAAAAAAAAGAGCATATTACAATAAAAAAAATACCTCCTGTATAAAAATTTGACCAATTCAAATAGATTAAAAAATTAATTAAATTAATTATTTGTTAAATATTTTTATTAATTATATGTATTAGCTGGAAGTCTTGAACTATCATTTGATGAAATATATAGAACTATTATAAGAATTATCTTAAAAAAATAGATAAATACAGAGTGGATTGAGTCTTATATTTATAACCAAATCAAATATCAAACTAACTTTTATATTAAGAACTAAAAGTAATATATTAATGATTTAATAATTCTGTTTTTACCTGATTGGTAGTTTGTAATTATTTGAAATTTATTGATTGATTAATTAATAGCGCATCTGTCGGCAAACAAAATTAATGAATAGCGCATCATACTCTGTTTTTTATTGATTTGTTGTTTTATTATAATTAAACGGAAACAGCAATTATGAGTTCATGTTTACACGAAATTCAGGACCAATGACATTACTCTTGACGTGTGAATTCTTATGACATGAATCTATACAGTGTTCTGATTCTATTTATAAATCATTTTTAATATATTTTATACAGGTCAAGAAAAATCTTAAACTTTATTAACTTTTATTTAAAATTAAACAATTTTTTAATTTTATTCCTATTTAATATACATTATACTTTATATAAACAAAATCAATACAATAATAAATGAATGGGAAAATTATACATGCATACAAAAAAATCTTCTCAATGCCTTGTAAATAGGACAAAAAAATCTTCTCTCTCTATTCTATAAATAAGACAAGAGGAGTATTGATCACACATTTTATATTACTACCTCATGTTCTTAATATAAAAATTTGTTTGATTTTTATTTTGGTTTTAAATATAAAATCAATCTATTTTATCTCTCATGTTTAATCAAGATAACCCTTATAATAATGATAATTCTAGCCATAATTAACAAGAATATTTTAGGAAAGATAATACTTATTTATTACAAATAACTAGCTTAACTATTTTTCTTAATCTACCTAAATTAGTCAATTAACTCTTAATAGGACTAAATGTAGTATGTCATCATCTCCTGTCCTTAACATCAAATCTGGTTAACTAATTTAGGAATATTAGAAAAATTAGTTAAATCAGTTATTTATAATAAATAGGTGTTATCCTTCATAGAATACCTTTACTAATCATATGTATTAGCTAAAACTGTTATTTAATAGAACTTTTAACATATGTAACTATTATAATTTACAGTAGCTGCTTTAGAAAAAACTGATAGATGTGAAAAACAAGTCGAATTTGGGTCTTATATTTATGATCAAATTAAAAGCTAAACTAAATCTTATATTAATGATGGGGTAGTATAATATAATATTGGCCATACCATATTAAATAACTGAAAACATTTATATTAATGATTCTTTCGCAATAATAATAAAAAAGCATTTAAATGACTCTAATGATCCTTGATCAATCAACCTTTTCAAAAGATTTGGATGTGCACTTTCGTTTTATCCCCATGAGGACACGAGTTGAAAGCCTTTTATCCAGTACAGATGAATTCTTTTTTCCTTTTTTGGCGAAGAAATTTTATAAAAAAAGGATGGGCTCACCCCCAATTCAAGAATAAGGCAATTAACCATTGAACCTGACTTTACCCAAGTATGTTTTTATGATAATGGAAAGAGTTTCATGCGAGCGATCATTACATGTTACGAGTTAAAATCTTAACTTCAGCGATGCCTCTCTTAACACCATAGCATGTTATAGGGTCAAACTCGCTCTCGTAGTATACATGTCCAGCCTCTTTGTTGGTTGAACCCACAGCAGTACACATGGATTTTTGATAATGCATCTTCCATGCTTATACCACACAGCATCCCTTAAATTATTTTTTAGTGATTAAGGGGGTGTTTGGCAATATCCAAACTATAGTTTCAGAAGCACTTTTTTCACAAAATAAGACAAACTCCTCCACGTATTTATTTCGTAAACTGTATAAGCACTTCTGAAATTATGGTTTGGTTTCTATCTAAACATCTCTTAAGTGTCCATGATTAAGAGCTCTACTCATGAGTCATGACACTGCACGCACGTCAAAACGAAGGGAATAAAATATTATCCTCGCCCCTCATCCCATTAACTTCTCTTGTTCTTACATTTCCACAACAAAACACAGTTTGGCTTCCTTAACAATCTCCGCGATGAGAGGATGGTTATCGTTCAACGAATGATCACAACTTGGAAGGTTTTAACAAATTTTGTAAAATCTTCAAATTTCCAACCTCTAGTTCTAAAATAGTTGTCTTTATTTTCCAAGGTTCATTTTTATTCCAAATATAAGATGAAATAATAAAAAATAATTAAACTTTGAAAACATCAGTTAAATGGAAAGGGGAAAAAACCATGGATCCCATCAATCTTCCCCTGATGCATTCCCCAGAACAAACTCCAAAAATAATTAGAAAATCACCACAGCGAAACTATAGTTTTCTTTTCGGATAAAAACATGATGTTTGTTTTGTAAAATATTTTTTTGGTTACATATAGGTCTCCTCTTATTAAATATGATTACATTTAAGGCGTCGAAGGATATTGAATATAAGTACTTTTCTTAGTAGATATTCGAACTCCATTGCTCGCAAAACGTTTTTTTTTTTTTGTTGAATACAAATTATCCATCGTTAGTAGTAATGACTAATCTTCATGCATTATAGACTTCTCAAAAGAGATTTATTATTGGCTACGAGACTCTTTCCATATACACCGTCAAAGATTAAATCCCTAACTAAATGTTTAGAAAAACTAGCGCACAGGCAAAACAAAGTAACAAACAAAGATATTTTAGCCTTCAAGGTCGCCTCTAAAGCCCTTTTTGGGCCAAAAAGCCCATTCTAATAATATATTAAAACTTTAAAGCCCAATTTTAGCAACGCTGCCCAATTTTAACATTTCTTTTGGGGAGGATTCATATGATTATATGCGGAGTTTTAAAGTGATCTATTGTTAACAAGATGATTAAAATTATAACTAACTAATCACCTATACAATGGATAATTTGAAATAAAGAAGAGAGAGATAGATTTTTTAATTTAAAAGAAATTATCATCTTATCATAAAACGAGTGGGTATATCTTATTACTTGAGCTGGCTCATATAACAGGAATCTAAATAACATTTGAGTAAGAATCCAAGTTCAAATAATTTTAATGTATTTTTTCAAAAGAATTTGTCTAATATTTTATCCTTTGATCAATTTATTAGTTTTTGAAAAACATATCTAAAATAAATAATGATACTCTGAACGCAACCACAAAGCAATTTATTTTCTTGACGCTGGCCAAAAATTGCTGTGTCAATAATTTAGTTTGGGGAAATGCCTCCAGGCTCCAGCTGTGTGGATAAAAGAGGGGCGGGATCATGAACAATATGTGGGCCAGAGGCCCTACCAGGACAGAGTAGGGCACGCACGCGCAACCACTACCGTATTGGTCAGTGTTTGCGTCGATGTGCTGTCACTGCGTGCCTCAGATCCACAAGCCCTACCTGCTTTTTCCTATTTCTACGCCTCCACCCCGAAACTTCTAGCTGCTTTCGAAATATCTCCCTCACGCCTCTTCTTTATAACTCCTCTGGTCTGCTTTTCCCACCGAAACAAACACATCCTCGGCACGACGGATTCTTTTGTTCTTTGTTTCGATTTTTTCATATTTTTGTGATCTTCTGCCCCTGTCCTTTCATTCTCGCCGCCGATTAGGATATCCGACTGATTCGATTGCAAATCTGATTGTTTTTGTTTGATCCTCCTCCCTTTTTTGATTTGTTGGCCTTAAAGTGTTAATTGAAGCAGAAAATCTGAGATTTAATATGAAGCGGGCAAGGAAATCGAAGAGGGTTTCGTGGGCTCCTGGATTTAATCTGTGTCAGGTATATATGACTGCAACATTCTTTTTCAAAATTTCG